GTTGGGGGGGGGGGCACCAAAATACTGTTTGCTTACCGTTGAAAATTACCTAGGGCCACCTCTGTATATGCCAGTGGTTCTCAACCTGGGGTCCCCAGATGCTTTTGGCCTTCCAACTCCCAGAAATCTTAACAGCTGGTAAACCGACTGGGATTTCTGGGAGTTGTAGGCCAAAAACATCTGGGGACCCAAGGTTGAGAACCACTGGTATATGCAATTGCACAACAAGGTCCAAATGAAAACTGTATATAGGATTAATGCCCAAGAGCAAACAAAACCTGATATTTGCAGTCTCAGACCAAAATTTTATTCATCTTATGGTTTTGTGTTTCCGCTTACATTTTTAACTGGTACCCCTCACAATGGACCTAAATTTTGTATGTTGTGGGAATTGTTAAAACTCCCTCCCCATATTTTTATGGTTCCAGTGCAAGGCAGTTCCTGTATTTACTTTAAGTCATCCAATCTCATTCATGAAATTGTAGGAAACACCCTGAACATCATTAGGAATTAGGATACAAAATTGCACTCTTTTAGCACATTTTCTGCAATGGCCATCACACCGCCATTCCTGGAGGCATAGCAACTCTCCAGAAATTAAAGGAGCAGTAAAAACATTGGGTTGTTGTAGGTTTTTCGGGCTAAATGACCATGTTCTAGAAGCATTCTCTCCTGACATTTCGCCTGCATCTATGGCAGGCATCCTCAGAGTTGTGAGGTTTGTTGGAAACTAGGAAAATTGGATTTATATATCTGTGGAAAGTCCAGGGTGGGACAAAGAACTCTTGTCTGTTGGAGGTAGGTGTGAATGTCCCAACTGGCCACCTTGATTAGAATTTGAAGCAATACTAAAATCTGGCAACCAGTATTTAAAAAATCCCTCTAAAATTATAACAGCAAAACAACACTCAAACACAGGGAAACTCCAAAGAGGAAACAATCAGAGACAACTAATCATATCTCAACAAAAGATTCCCCCAGGCACTAACAAGCCACACCAAAAAACTGCCAGGCCATCAAATGCTAATCAAGGTGGCCAACTAAAATATTCACATCTAGCTCCAACAGACAAGAGTTCTTTCTGTGGACATTCCAGAGAAATATAAACCCAATTTTCCTAGTTCCAACAGACCTCACAACCTCTGAGGATGCTTGCCATAGATGCAGGCAAAACGTCAGGAGAGAATGCTCTAGAACATGGCCATATAGCCCAAAAAACCTACAAGAACCCAGTGATTCCAGTACAAACATTTGCACACAAAAGGAAAAACAGTAGCACAGCCAAATTGATGTTTACTAACCTGCCATTTGCTTCGAGATACGAAAAATTTGAGTTGCTTTGTATCGATGAAATGAGATTCTTCCAGTGGAAGGTTGTGCTATAAAGGAAAACAAATTGAGAATATAATTATTCCATGTTCAGGTCAAAATTTCCTTTTGCAATAAAATAATTCAACACACATAGCATCAGTGTGCAATGAAAAGATCACAACGTTATTGATTACAGATGTACATAAAGTTGGCTCAAGCACATGGGTCCTTGATCGCTTTAATTGTGTGTTTACTTCTGTGTTTTTGCATGGTAGAATGGTCTTAGACTGGATGGCCTTTTCCACCTATATGATTCTTAGGTCTGTGCAAAACTTAGTTTGGGCCTCATTTGTCGTATTTCGTAAGATTCGTACATACAATGCAATATTAAGAAATGCAGGCAGCGCCCACATAAAAAACTTAAGATTCAAAACACTGACCATTTATGAGAGTGATGCAAGTCTCGTAAATGGCTCCCGGTCTCCGTTGCGAGTGCTGCTTCCCCCCAAAAGGGCTGGGTTTGTTTTGCCCAAAGGGCCCCAAGGAGGATGGAAAGGCTCAGAGTCGAGGGAGAAGCCCTGCTCTTTCCGCAAAGTTGGTGGCAAGGGGCCCCGGAGTGGAAGGGAAGACAAGAGGGAAGGATGCCTGGCTGGATGGCCGGGCAAGGAAGACAACCTCCAGCTCATGGCTGGCACAGAGAGAGGCAGGCAGAGACCACAGTCACATTGAGGCTTTAACACAGGCAGCCCCAGTATTCTGAAGCAAGCAGAATTCTGGGAAATGTAGTTTAGGGGGGAGCCTTTTGAATTCTCCGCCACAGGGGTCCTTGCCTTCCCAAACTATATTTCCCAGAATTCCTCCCTGAAATCCTCTAAAGGGATTTCAAGATAAAAGAGGATTGTTGGGAGTTGAATTAGCCCTGTGAGGTAGGCAAAGTTGTGTCACAACTCAGGGTAGTTTTCACCTTGCTCAAGACACCACCATACACCAAGGCTGTAGGTTTTGTAGTTTATTGAGAAAAAGCAAAACAGAGAAATAAAGATGCAAACATTCAATAGGAAAAAACAGAGTCTTAAATGCAAAGGCAAAGTTCCCACGATCCAAAGGCAAATAACATGAAGCATAATCCGTTAGCAATGGTCAAATAAGAGTCCATGATAGACAGGTAACATCAGGATCAAAATCCAAGTCTCAATGAAGCCAGAAGCATTCCGCAAAAGCCAAGGTAATTCCACAGAAGTTAACAAGAAAGGAGCAACATTGGACTGACAGAAAATGCCTGTCAGCTTCATCATTAAATAAGTTTCCCTGACATGAACGCATTGCGTTGACCTTTTGCTTCATGTTTGCTGGCAAGGCGTGTGCTTCTGTGAACTCTTAACTGTAAGCGATCCTGTGTACTCATTAATTCACTATTATCTTCAAGGCTAGACAACTCATTATCTCGGCCCAGCTGGGCTTGATCACCCTGGGAACCAAAAGGAGTCTCCACCTGCAGTTGTGGAGTTTCACTATCTTTATCTAAAGGCACATTCCTTTCTCCAGGGAACAGACTTGCTGTTTCTTCCTCAGAAGCCACACTATCAGCCCTGTCTGGAACATGTACAGAAATCTGTAACCTCTCAGCCTCATCATTATCGTGGAGAAAGTCAGGCTCAAAAGGTCCAGACAGTCTCAGACTCAGTCTCAGACTGAGCCACAACACGTTGAGAGGCACTAACTCTAAAGTTTACTAGTAATTTTCTATTATTATTATTATTATTATTATTATTATTATTATTATTTCAAAGGCTGGATGGGCACCTTTTGGGAGTGCTTTGACTGTGCTTTTCTTGCCCGACAGAAGGGGGTTGGACTGAATGGCCCCTGGGGTCTTCCAGTGAAATAGTACTGTTAAGTTTAAATTGGTTAAAATTCCCTAAAAATCAGTGGATGTGCAAATCTTTCTGAAACTTTGGGGAACTGATGCCTTGTAATGTTGTATCATTAAAAATAGAAATTCAGGGAGATCGCTCTTGTAGGGTTTTTTTTTAAAAAAATGTTGTTCATATAAACTTTATAAAATTGCCAAAAAACAGTGGATGCATGAAATGCTCTGAAACTTGGAAGGATAACAGAGGTAAATGTGTTCTGCCATTGTAGCAAGTTTCATCCTGATAGCTCTAGAAATGGGTGAAAGGAGCCCTTGAAGCTTCACCACTTGCGCAATTACATAATGAAAAAGTAACAAAAATGTTGTTATATCATTATAGTTACAATACAAACCCTTACAATATTTTAGAACCACTTTAGAAATGACCCCCCCCCCCCAAATTTAGTAATGATTATTGAAACATTTTTTTTATTGATGGCACAAGCCTAATGGTTCTACAGTCTAGAATTCATCTCGTATTTCCAATAATTCGTATTTTTGTTCACTAGATGATTTTTGTTCCTTCTTTTGGTTGCTTCATTTGGCATTGTTTGCCCCCAAAATAAATATCCCTTGCAGAAACATCTTGGTTTGGGTTGAGAGTTGGAAGAGGAGAAACAGGCCAATGTTGTTCCTCTTTCCTAGAAGATTCCTCTTTCCTAGAAGATTATTAGGCGCAGGTTCGCAGCTTGGGTGTGACCCTGGACTCATCGCTGAGCCTGGAGCCCCAGGTTTCAGCGGTGACCAGGGGAGCATTTGCACAGCTTCGGCTCGTGCGCCAGCTGCGCCCGTACCTTGGGAAGTCTGACTTGGCCACGGTGGTACACGCTCTGGTCACATCCCACGCTTGACTACTGCAACGCTCTCTACGTGGGGCTGCCCTTGAAGACGGCCCGGAAGCTTCAGCTAGTCCAGCGCGCGGCAGCCATGTTACTAACGGGAGCGGGACGCAGGGAGCACACAACGCCCTTGCTGTCCCAGCTCCACTGGCTGCCGATCTGCTACCGGGCCCAATCAAGGTGCTGGTGTTATCCTACAAAGCCCTAAACGGTTCCGGCCCAAAATACCTTTCGGACCGCATCTCGGCCTATGAGCCCACGAGGGCCTTGAGATCATCTGGGGAGGCCCTTCTCTCGATCCCGCCTGCCTCACAGGCACGTCTGGCGGGGACGAGAGAGAGGGCCTTCTCAGTAGTGGCCCCCCGGCTGTGGAACACCCTCCCTGTTGACATCAGACAGGCGCCCTCCCTCATGGCTTTTCGTAAGAGCCTAAAAACCTGGCTATTCGACAAGGCATTTAATTGAGACCCACACGAATTTGGTTGTGATATTTGGAACGGACTATGGATTATGAGACTGGCTATGACTCTATGTTGTGATGGCGCGGATCTATTAGTGTAATTTAGATTAATGTGTAATTCGATTGTTGTTATATTGTATGTTTTTGTAGATGGTTTTTACATGTTGTACACCGCCGCGAGTCGCCCCAGGGCTGAGAGCGGCGGTCAACAAATGAAGTAAATAAATAATAAATAAATAAATAAATAAGATCAAACTATGTATTGGAGAGAGATTTCATACCTGAAACCAAGCATGAGAAAGACAATCCACTGCACTAGGTCTTGCCCTGGGAGGGAAGAAAAACATATACTTTGCATATACCAACAGTATTTACAACTACTCCAAATAGCTCAGGAAATATCCAAATCTGTACAAATGAGTGACCTGTACAGATAGCAAGGTGGAAGTAATCACACCAATCCAAGTATTTGGGAACCTACACTGAGGAGCTGTGATCTGAGCTGCAGAAAATGCCCCTTTGCTTTCTTTTTCCCTCCTCCCTTCCTCAATGCCCATCCATATTACTGGGAGATGAGTGGGAAATAACAAAAGAGGTTACTCACTCTGGAGAAGGTTGTAACATCTTTCTGACAAAGTCTTTGGCTTCTTTGCTCAGGCGAACGACCTCAGGAGCATCCCAAGAAAGGTTTCCACTCTGAATGTTTAAGAGGGTGGCTCTGTCATTTTCCCCAGCAAATGGAGACTTGCACGTCAAGCTAATTGTGTCAGAGGAATACAAAAGCATTAATAGGCTGTGTACATTAGGGGGGAAGTCAGCATAATGTAATGGTTGGAGTGTTGGGTTATGAATCTGGAAACACATCCTTGCTCAGGTACAGGAACCCATTGAGTGACCTTATTTATTTATTTACATACTTATTTTACAGTATTTGTATACCGCTTTTCTCACCTCGAGGGGGACTCAAAGCGGTTTACACATAAGTAATGGCAAAATTCAATGCCATTGCAAACAATTACAATTATACACTATAATTAGACACAAATCAAGTTAAAAACAAAGCAAGTCAAGAGGGATCTTGACTTTAAGCTAAAAGGAGTCCAGAATCATAGAATCATAGAGTTGGAAGAGACCTCATGGGCCATCCAGTCCAACCCCCTGCCAAGAAGCAGGAAAATTGCATTCAAAGCACCCCTGACAGATGGCCATCCAGCCTCTGTTTAAAAGCCTCCAAAGAAGGAGCCTCCACCACACTCGGGGCAGAGAGTTCCACTGCTGAACGGCTCTCACAGTCAGGAAGTTCTTCCTCATGTTCAGATGGAATCTCCTGTCTTGTAGTTTGAAGCCATTGTTCCATGTCCTAGTCTCCAGGGAAGCAGAAAACAAGCTTGCTCCCTCCTCCCTGTGGCTTCCTCTCACATATTTATACATGGCTATCATATCTCCTCTCAGCCTTCTCTTCTTCAGGCTAAACATGCCCAGCTCCTTAAGCCGCTCCTCATAGGGCTTGTTCTCCAGACCCTTGATCATTTTAGTCACTCTCCTCTGGACACCTTCCAGCTTGTCAATATCTCTCTTGAATTGTGGTGCCCAGAATTGGACACAATATTCAGTTCCAGTCATTGTCTTTCTGAAATGCTGCATCCATTTACTTCTACTGCCCGAAGGCCTGGTCCCAAAACCATGATTTTAATTTTTTTTCTAAAAGCCAGGAGGGAGGGAGCAGATCTTACCTCATTTGGGAGTGTGTTCCATAGGCGGGGGGCTACAGCCGAGAAGGCCCTGTCTCTCATCCCCGCCAGACACATCTGTGCTGTTGATGGGAGCGAGAGCAGGGCCTAACCGGACGTAGGGGTGGATGCATTCAGACAAGTAAGCTGGGCCAGAACCGTATAGAGCTTTATAGGTCAAAACCAGCACTTTGAATTGGGCTCAGAGATGGACTGGCAGCCAGTGAAGCTGGCATAACAGGGGGGTGGTATGCTCCCTGTATGCCACCCCGGATAGTAATCTGGCTGCTGCCCATTGAACTAGCTGAAGTTTTCGAACCGTCTTCAAAGGCAGCCCCATGTAGAGCGCATTGAGGTAATCTATTTGGGATGTAACCAGAGCAAGTGATGCTCTCTAAGCTTTGGAGAAAGGCAAAGGCAACCTCCATCTGAAGAAATCTTGACAAGCCATGATAGCCTTCTTTATGATTGGCGTAAGTTGGAAGTGATTTGAAGGCAGACAGCATTACAAAAGCAGAAGACTGATTAGGGCAATGGATAAAAAATCAAAATGAAAGGGCACAGCATTGGAAATGTGTCAAAATGAAGAGATCCAAAGTGCTTACCTTAAATAACTAATTACTCCAATAGGCCTATAGAGAAAAAGGGGGAAAGAAGTGTGTCAGAAACAAAAAATAATTTGATAGAAGCAATATAGACAACTTCACTCCATTTATGTAGAGATTATCGTCTATATAAATAAAAATATAATGTTTGTTTGTGGGATTAGCATAACTCAAAAACCAGTGGACGAATTGACACCAAATGTGGACGCAAGACACCTAACAACCCAATGTATGTCCTTCACTCAAAAGAATTGATTTTGTCATTTGGGAGTTGTAGTTGCTGGGATTTATAGTACACCTACAATCAAAGAGCATTCTGAACTCCACCAACAATGGAATTGAACCCAACTTGGTACACAGAACTCCCATGACCAACAGAGAATACTGGAAGGGTTTGGTAGACATTGACGTTGAGTTTGGGAGTTGTAGTTCACCTACATGCAGAGAGCACTGTGGACTCAAACAATAATGGATCTAGACCAAACTTGGCACTAATATTCCATATGCCCAAATAGGAACACAGATGGAGTTTGGGGGACCTTCACATTTGGGAGTAGTAGTGAGCGACTTCCGGGTGCGCAACATGGAGGGAAGACGGGCGCTGTAGAGCTCCGCAGGGCGCCGGCTCAATCCAAACAGCTGGGTAGAGCAAAAGCTCCCTTCCCCTTAGTGGATTGAAGCGGGGGAACGGCGAAACCACAGGTGGTTCGGCCGACGGCCCTGAGAGGGTCTTCTCCTCAAGAGGAGGCTCCCAAAGGGTCCGGCAACGTCCACCAAGGTACGGCGGGCTGTGGATGAGCCATCAGGGGAAACAATCCCCTGCCAATTCCTGACCGGCGCACTTTTTAAACACCAGAAAATAGAAGAAAAAGAGAAGAAGAACGAAGGAAACGTAAGTAAACAAAAGGTATTGAAAGGAGGCAGAAGAAAGCTCCCTCCATATCAAACCCAAATTTGGAGCCAAACCAGACAGCTTTAATAACGAAAAAGCCAAGTTAATGCACTCAGGCATCTTGAACAGTGACGAAAGAAGATAAACAAGAAGGGCAAAGCTGGAGTATAAAGCCCAAAGGGATAATTAATGTTGATAATTAATTAACTACTGAAGCTCTTACTGATATTCTACTGAGTTAAAATAACGGAGGAACGGAAGAATTTAAGTAGAAATAAATACAGAAAGGGGACAACCTAAATAGAATTGAGAAGGAGAAAACCCAAAGGGTTAACCAGAAAGACAAAGACTAGGAACTGTGAACTCTAGACGAAGAGACTGACCTTGGGAACCTTGGAAACTACCATTGTTGTGTCTTCGGCGAGGAGGCTGAAGAGGGCAGGGGAGTGAGGAGGAGAGGGAGAGAGAGAAAGAGAGAAGAGAAGAGGGAGGAGGCGACAAGGAGAGCAGAGGTGGGGCCCAGAAAGCGTGGCGAAGAAGCAGGAAGAGATAGAAAGCGGGGGCCGTCGGGAGAAACACGAACTATCGCGCAACAAGGCGAGATTAGCGTAGCAGCGTGAGAAGACGCGAGAAGACCCGGGAAGAGAAGCACAGCGCAAGGAAGGGCAAATCCGCAGAAGATCGCGAGAAAGAGAGCGGGAGGAGAAACAGGAAGTAAACAAGAGTTCTAACGTGAGCTCATCAAAGGACAAGGGAGAGCAACCTAGAGGCTGGGAAAGAACGAGGAGGAGAGGAAGAAAAGGGGAAGGAGAAGCAGCAGAAGAAGCAACGGAGAAAAAAGAGGTAGAAAATAGAGCCGAAAATAATAAATAATAAATAAATACAAATAATAATAATAAAAAATAATAAATTAAAATAAGGAAAAAAAAATAAATATATTTGATAAACCAAATAAAGTAAAATAGACCACAACAGGATAAATAAAAATAAACAACAATAATAACAAAAATAAATAAATAATATATAATATAACTCTACAAATAAAGGGAAAATAATAAAAATAATAAAAATAATAATATTAACAAAACAAATAAATAAATAAGAAGATAAAAATAACCAAGAACACAAAGAAATAAAATCAGTTAAAGAGGAGAATAAGAGAAAGCTGCAACCCCATATTTGGAACTATACTCTGGTCTCTAAACAATTCTCTTCCACAGAGGTGGAAATACCACGCTGATATCACAAAAATAAAGTGAAATATTAACTGCCCGCAGATCTGCCAAAAGAAGTTCCGAGGAGGACCTACATTGTCTGCCCAAAAGAATAGAAAGGAAAGGAGAAAGGAGATGGCGACCCTGACACCGAAGATAAAAGAGATAAAAGAGGCGAAAGAGAACAAAGGAACAACAAGAAAAGGCTCAGTTTCAGAAGAACCAAGTGTGAGAGAAATGTTAAAGGAGATTATAAAAGAGATCCAAACAGTGAAGGAAAATCAAGAGGAACACCAGAAAACAACCCAGAGCCAATCACAAAGCCTGAAAGAAATAAAAGAGGAAATGAAAGGAATGAAAACAGAAATAGTGCTGCTTCAAAGCGAAATCAAAAGCCTGAAAATAGAAAAAAAAGAAATGCAAAAAACACAAGAAAGTTTAGAAAGAAAGATAAAGATACTACATTTGGAAAAAGAAAGGTTAGAAGAAAAACTACTACATACAGACATAAAAGAGATGGAATTTCAACTAAGACTAAGGAATATCCAGGAAGAACAAGGGGAGAATATAAGGGAAAAGGTAAAAGGGATCCTGGGAGAACTTATGGAAAAAACAGAACAAGAAATCGAAGAGCAGACTGACAGAATATACAGAATCAACACTAACTTCGCGAGAAGGAATAGAACAGCGAGAAACATGTTAGTACATTTTGTCAAAAAGACCCAAAGGGACGAGATAATAAAAACAAACAGCAAAAGACAAGTCCTCTACAAAGGCAAGAAAGTTATAATACTGAAAGAAATACCGGGAGCTGTATTAAGTAGAAGAAAAAAATACACACCACTCGTCGAAGAACTCAAAAGACAGAAAATATGTTTCCGATGGGAAAGAGGAGAAGGCTTAATGGCTACGTACCAGGAACAGAAACACTGGATTACAAATGAAGACACAGCAAAGGACTTTCTAAAAAGAATCACAAAAGAGAGAGAAGGAAAAACGGACTACCAAAGAAAAGGAGAGAAAGAAAGAAAAAGAGCCCGTACAGAGTCGCCGGAGAAAGAAGACTTAGACAAGGGAAACTACAAAATGGACTTAGAAAGAGCAATAGACATAACGAATCTAAACAAAGTGGAGGAAGAGGCAGAAGACGAAGGTGAAGAAGAAAGAGGAGAAGAAGGAGAAGAAGGAGAAGAGCAGGAAGAGAAGGCAGAAGAAGAAGGAAAGAACTAAAGAAAAGAAACACAACTTATCCCAAAGCATCTAACTAAAACTGGATTTTATAAAAGTTTACTCGAATAATATTAATGGTTTTAACTGTAAAAATAAAAGAAATAAAGTATTCAACAGAATATGAAAAAACCGGTATCATGTGATCGCGTTCCAAGAAACTCACGTTGCACAGAAACATATAGCACATTTAGACAACAAGAACCTAGGGAAGGCATACTACTCCTCAGCGCAGGAAAAAAAGAGAGGGGTGGTTACATATATAAACAAAGATATACCATCAAATCAAGTATTTAAAGATTAGGATGGAAGGTTTGTAGGGGTAATAATAACAATAAAAGATAAGAAAATTTTGCTATGTAACATATACGCCCCCAATGATTCCAAAACAAAATTTGCAGAAAAATTAAAAGCACACATTAACGACCACGAATTCGACCACCTGATTATCATCGGAGACTTCAATGGTGTGATGGATGCACACCAGGATAGAAGTAAAGGTGAACACAATGGAAGTAAAGAGAAGAGGAAAAGAGGAGGAATGTTACCAAAATCAATAACAAATATAATGACGGAAATGAGCCTAGAAGACATTTGGAGAAGGAGAAACGAAGGAAAGAAGGACTACACCTATTACTCGGCCAGACACGAAACGTGGTCTAGAATAGATATGGCCTGGGTGTCAAAATCACTATCTACAGAAATAGAAGAGATAAATATCTTACCAAGAATGGAGTCAGACCATTGCCCAATTGAAATGAAAATAAAATTAGATGAGAAAGACAGAAGATGGAGACTGGATGACAATCTATTGAGAAATGAAGAAGATATAGAAAAAAATAGGAAACTTCTAAAAGAATATTTCGATATAAATGACACCAAGGAGATACACCCGTTTACATTATGGGAGGCTAGTAAAGCCGTGATAAGGGGCAACTTCATAAAACAAAAAGCAATAAAAACAAAATTAAAAAACTAAAAGAGAAAGAAATAATGAAGGAAATTACACAAGAGGAGGCCAACTTAAAGACAATTCCTAAGAATAGAGAAGCTATTAAGAATTTGAAGAGACTACAAAAACAGAGGGAATTTCTGGAACAAGAAGAGAGGGCGAAACAATTAAAATTCATAAGACAAGATTACTTTGAAAACTCAAACAAACCTGGGAGATGGTTATCAAATAAACTAAAGAAAAGAAGAGAGACAAACTTTATAACGAGACTAAAGGAAGGGGAAAAGATATACACACAAGGAAACCAGATAAAGAAACAATTTGAAGAATTTTACCAAAATCTGTACAAAAAAGAAGAAATAGACAAAAACGCAATCTACAAATACTTGGGAGAGAAAAACATAACACACATAACAGAGGAACAAAGAGAGGAATTGAATAGGGAAATCTCCAAAAAAGAAATTAAGAAGGCAATAAATGAATTAAAAAGAGACAAAGCACCGGGAACTGACGGCCTAACGGCCATCTACTACAAAACATTCCAAAATGAACTAACCCCTTTCCTAAAGAGAGTAATGAATGAAATTAGAGAGAAAAAAGAAGTACCCCAAACATGGAGACAAGCGCTGATAACCTTAATTCATAAAGAAAACACAAACCCAGAAAACGTGAAGAATTACAGGCCCATTTCGTTGCTAAATTTAGATTACAAATTACTAGGAAAAATCATTGCGGAAAGATTAAAAAAAAATACTGAGCAAAAGGATTAAAGAAGAGCAAGCAGGGTTCCTGCCCAAAAGGTCACAAACAGATAACGTCAGAACCATTATAAACCTAATAGAATATTATGGTAATAACATACAAAAGAAGGTAATGTTCCTAGCGTTGGACGCTGAAAAAGCCTTCGACGATGTCAACTGGGACTTCATAAAAATCTTAATAAAGGAGATGGACATGGGTTATTATTTCGAGAACATAATTGGGGCAATCTACGATAATCAGGAAGCAAAAATTATAATAAATGGCAAACAAATAGAGACAATTCATATCCAGAAAGGAACGAGGCAAGGCTGCCCAATATCTCCATTAATTTTCATTCTAACACTAGAAATACTATTGGATAGAATAAGGGACGATAAGGAAATTTAAGGAGCACGCATTCAAGGTCGCAACTATAAGGCAAGGGCGTTTGCAGATGACATAATAGGGATAATAGCAGAACCAAAACAAAACTTAGGAAAATGGCTAAAGACAATCAGTGATTACGGACAGGTTTCGGGATTCAAGGTAAACCTAGAAAAAACCAAAGCGATAACAAAAAATATCACAAAGAAGGAGCAGGAAACAATAGGGATAGATTGGAACATACAAATTACACAAAAAATAAAGTACCTAGGTATCACACTTACTGCAAAAAATCTGCAACTATTAGAAAATAATTACATAGAGAAATGGAAAAAAATTTAAAAAGATTTGGAAAAATGGAGGTACATGAAATTATCCCTACTGGGAAGGATAGCTGCGGTGAAGATGTCGATATTACCAAAATTAGTGTTTTTATTTCAAAATTTACCAATAATTAGATCCCAAAAATTATTAGACAGTTGGAAAAAAGATGTAATGAACTTTATCTGGCAGAAGAAGAAACCGAGAATAAACTACAGAGATATGACAGAAAGGAAAAACAAAGGCGGACTAGCAACCCCAAACATCAAACTGTATCATGACTCTTGCGCATTAATTTGGATAAGAGACTGGGCAAAGCTAGAGAAGGAGAAGATCCTAAATATAGAAGGAGAAGGATTAAGATCAGGATGGCATGCCTACCTAGGATATGATAAAGCAAGAAAAGAAAAACATTTCAGCAACCATTTTGTGCGATCATCATTAATCAAAGTATGGAATAAATACAAAGATAAATTTTACAAAAAAACTCCGTTATGGCTATCACCACTCGAGGCCTCCCAAAGAAGAATATTAGGGTGGAACGATTGGCCCAAATATAGAGACATAATAAAAAAGGAAGGTGGAGAATTCAAGATTAAAACCCAACAAGAATTAAAAAATATAAATGATAGAATTTCATGGTACCAGTACGAGCAAATTAAAGAACACTTCAAGCTAGATAAAGAAAAAGGATTTGAAGAAGGCACAAACTTCTGGGATAGGATAATGCAAACCGAAAATAAGTTAATTTCAAAGATATACAAGAAATTAATAGAAGAAGAAGGAGACATAGAAAAAGAGAAAATATACATGAAAAAGTGGAAAGAAAACCTAGGAAGAGAGATAAGGAAAGAACAATGGGAAGAAATGTGGAATAAGAAATTAAAATATACGAAAGCGATGGAACTTAAAGAAAATTGGTTTAAGATAGCATATAGGTGGTATATAACACCACATAAGATAGGGAAATTCAACAAAAATACGAATACGAAATGCTGGAAATGCAGAAAACATGAAGGGACATATTACCACCTATGGTGGACATGCCCAAAAGCAATAACATATTGGAAAAATATAAAAAAATCATTACAAAAATTTTTAAAGATAAATATACCCCTAAAACCAGAAACATTCCTACTAGGGATCCACGATATAAAAATGGAGAAGAATAAGGACAAAATTCTATTTCTCTTAACAACTGCGGCCAGAATAATATATGCAAAGCATTGGAAGGAAAAAGAACCCCCGGGAGAAGAAGAATGGCTAACAAAGATCCTGGATATAAGAAATATGGACAAATTAACCTACATACTTTCAAAAAAAAAAGGGGCACTCCATCAGTAGAAACTGACTGGAAACAAGTAACAACATACTTGATAGAAGAAAAAAATATGAAAATAATCACATGAAAAAGTGGTAAACAAAACAAAAGGGGGAGAGCAGAAGAGAGAAGAGAGAGGAGTAGTTTGGAAGAAAGAAGGAGCGAAGGAAGAGGAAGAACCTCCAGAAAATACCGGGAAGTCAACGTCAGATATACACCTATCACACACCCTCTTTTCCCTCACAGTGACCTCCTTAATTTCTTTTTCTACACCTGGCACACCCCTTTATTCCGTACAACTACCAAAAGCATCCCCCCCCACTCTACCCCCCCCCCTCTATACTATCATTCCCCCTCTATTCCCATCCTTTATCCCCACCTTCTTAAACCTATCTGATTAGATACTGTATACCTTTTTTTTTTTAACTAAAACTAATAAAGATTATTTTTAAATAAAACATTTGGGAGTAGTAGTTACTGAGATTTATAGTTCTCCAAAAATCAAAGAGCATGCTGAACCCCACCAACGACAGAATTGGGGCAAACTTCCCACACAGAACCTCCATACTTAAGACCACCCAGTCCAACTCCCTTCACCAGAGCAAGAAAACGTAATCAAAGCCCTCCTGGCAAAGAACCCTCCAGCTATAGATATAGATAGATGATTCACACACACACAGATATAGTATCATAGATTTCAAAGGGAGCCCTAAAGAAGGACAATGATATGTTGCATGTTCCAGAGTAGGCAAACCAAACACTCTCCACATCAACATTGACAAAGAAACAGCAAGAAATACTGTTTATCCACAAGCAGGAAGACATGACATAGATTAGAAACAAGCACTTTCTCATTATTTTATTTTCCAGATCACCAGACTGGGCCAGACAGGAACAGTCATGTATAATCCAGGAACAGCACCCTGTTGTTTGATGCCACAAGTACACAACCAAATCTGTCTGGACAGATGGCCAAGCAGCCAGACTATAAAAAGTTTCAGTAATGACAAAGTTCTGTTCCTGGCCTGAAAGTATGTATTCCTGTTTGATTGTACAGTGCTGACTTGGGAAGAAGTGGTCCTACCCAATAAACTTTGTTTGTGTGGCAGATACTTCACGAAATGTCTGGAGGGCACAGTTTCTCTGGCCAGGACAAAGAATGGAATTTTTGCAGTAATTCACTGGAGTAATTCTCCACATATCCGAATCTTGAGTTTAAAAATAAAAAGCCCCACAGTGACCATCTTTAGAGCCTTTAAATCTCACAACAAATCATCAAGTCTGAACAACGGAGGCAGAAATCCCAGGACCAACAGGTCTGTATGTGGATCTCTTCTGAAGTCCCAGGATTTTTTCCTTTGTTTAAAACCCGTGATTTAGTGCTGTCTCGAAGCGCCCTTAGCCTGAAAAGAAGGCCATGGCAAACTTCTACAGAATTCTTGCTAAGGAAACCCTACAAGAAGGTTGCCACATACATAAAAGACAATCATAACCATTTTGACCACTACTTTGTTCTTCAGCTGACCTAAAATGTATTCTCCATTAAACAAGCGCTACTTTGAAGTGAGGATGGGTGGGTTGTATTTTACCAGATATCAGAAGCTTTTGACACTGGTGACTGGGAGAGAATTTCTGGCGAGACAAACTCCGGAGACCCATATTTGCTGTACTGAGGCTCAGACGGGTTGATCTTCTGAGCAAAGCCAAAATCACAGAGCTTAATGTCATCCCGGTCATCATAAACCATCAAGATGTTTGAGGGCTATGGAAAGAGAAAGAATGAAAACATTAGTCTATCTTCATTGTGGTCATCAGTCTCATCCCACTGGAGCATTGCAGCGCACCCAAATACCTGGGAGTCACTCTGGACTGTGCTTTGACCTACAAGAAGCACTGCCTGAACATCAAGCAAAAAGTGGGCGCTAGAAACAATATCATACGAAAGCTGACTGGCACAACCTGGGAATCACAACCAGACACCGTGAAGACATCTGCCCTTGCGCTATGCTACTCTGCTGCTGAGTATGCATGCCCAGTGTGGAACACATCTCACCACGCTAAAACAGTGGATGTGGCTCTTAATGAGACATGCCGCATTATCATGGGGTGTCTGCATCCCTACACCACTGGAGAAACTACACTGTTTCACTGGTATTGCATCACCTGACATCTGCCAGGAAGTAGCAGCCAATAGTGAAAGGACCAAGGCAGTGACATCTCCACCCCACCCCGTTTGGTTATCAGCCAGCACGTCAACGACTTAAATCAAGAAATAGTTTTCTAAGATCTACAGAGACACCCATTGGAACATCTCAGCAAGCAAGAGTCCAAAAGTGGCAGGCTCAAACCCAGAACCTCAATCAATGGCTGATACCAAATGAGAGACTCCCCCCTGGGCAAGAGAAGACTGGGTGACTTGGAAGGCGCTGAACAGACTGTGTTCTGGCACCACAAGATGCAGAGCCAACCTTAAGAAATGGGGCCACAAAGTGGAATCCTCGACATGCGAGTGTGGAGAAGAGCAAACCACTGACCACCTGCTGCAATGCACCCTGAGCCCTGCCACATGCACAAGGGAGGACCTTCTTGCGGCAACACCAGAGGCACTGCAAATGGCCAGATACTGGTCAAAGGACATTTAATCAACTACCAAGCTTGCAAACTTTGTGTTTTGTTTGTTTGTTTGTTAAAAATCCAATACAACTGTTTGGTTTGCTCCTGACACAATAAATAAATAAAATCAGCCTCATACTGATCAGACACCCAAATTGTTTCCTTGCTGAATGTGTAGCCCAGTTTGGTGGAGTCTTGCCCTTCTTGGGGCTATTCTGTCCAGTTATACCCATGTGAAGCAGTAATCCTACTCATTTCCAGGAGTTCAGAGACTTTAGGAGGTGGGATCATCAATCTTCCATGGCCTATAAACCAGTCTGAAATAATTATGGGTTGGTATCTCAACATATAGCGACATACTAGCGACAAAGTTGAAGTACTTTGGCCACATCATGAGGAGACAGCAAAGCCTAGAGAAGACAATGATGCTGGGGAACGTGGAAGGCAAAAGGAAGAGGGGCCGACCAAGGGCAAGATGGATGGATGGCATCCTTGAAGTGACTGGACTGACCTTGAAGGAGCTGGGGGTGGTGATGGCCGACAGGGAGCTCTGGCGTGGGCTGGTCCATGAGGTCACGAAGAGTCGGAGACGAGTGAACGAATGAACAACAACAAATCTCAACATATGTGGACTGGGGTGATGGCTCTACATCAAAGGAGGTTCTTCAAGTTTGGGAATTAACGCAGGAAGAATACGACCTTCCACTCAGATTCTTGGATCTCTTATGTCTTCTTTTCATTCCTGCCTTCCAGAAGTCTAAGAATACCTGGGGGACCATCTTGGTTCTAGTGCTTCACCTCTCCTAGATGGGAGATGTCATACTTCCAAAAATGATCATTTGTTTTTCAATGGATTTAAGTCTTTACTCAGGTTAGAAACTCAGATGGATTTAAGTCTTTACTCAACAGGACTATTACTTCAACAAGGCTTCCTTGAAGCACTTTAGTTACTCTCAGAAGCATTTCTCCTATTTTCTGGTCACAATCATTTTCAAGTGTTACCTTGATATCCAAGTGAAGAACTTGATTTTCATGAAGATAGCCAATCCCTTCCAAAAGTTGTTTGATATATATCTTCACCTGTGTGCAAATGGAAAATGAAAACCATTATCAGCAAATCTCAAAAAGGGTACCTCCAATTTTAGGCTTCTTCAAGAAGACTGTTACGATTCATAGAATCATAGAATAGAATCATAGAATCAAAGAGTTGGAAGAGACCTCGTGGGCCATCCAGTCCAACCCCATTCTGCCAAGAAGCAGGAATATTGCATTCAGATCACCCCTGACAGATGGCCATCCAGACTTTGTTTAAAAGCTTCCAAAGAAGGAGCCTCCACCACACTCCGGGGCAGAGAGTTCCACTGCTGAACGGCTCTCACAGTCAGATTCCTTGATTTAAAATCCCATTTTTTAATTTATTTTTTAAAAAATACAAGTAAGCACCATTACCTCTGCTTCCGTCACTGCATTCTTCTTGAACAATCTTTCCAGAAGCTCTTCACTTGAGCAGCTAATACATTAAGGAATAGTAAAGGTAAAGGCTTTTCCCTGACATGAAGTCCAGTCATGTCCAACTCTGGAGGTTGGTGCTCATCTCCATTTCTAAGCTGAAGAGCCAGCGTTGTCCATAAACACCTCCAAGGTCATGTGGCCATAGACATGACTGCATGGAGCACTGTCACGTTCCCACAGAGCAGTACCTATTGATCTACTCAAATTTGAATGTTTTCAAACTGCTAGGTTGGCAGAAGCTGGAGCTAACAGCAGGAGCTCACGCCATTCCCCAGATTCGAACCTGCAACCTTTCAGTCAGCAAGTTCAGCAGCTCAGCGGTTTAACCTACTGTGCCAAATGCAATGTATACATATGCTGATGACACCTAATTTTGTGCATGAAACAAAGTTTGTGTACCATCACAAAGCAAAGATGTGACAATTTCCAGCTACTGCTATGGATAATTTTGGAGTATTTCATATCTTGGAATTCAGAAGAAGGAATTATATGGAAACCTGGGGGTTGCAGTTTAATGAGGCACCAGCAACCCTGGTAGAGAAGGCTAAAGATCTTGGAAAACAACAACTCCCATGATTCCATAGCACTAAGCAACGGCAGTTAAAGTGGTACATAATATAATGCTAATAATATAATATAATATAATATATTGTATATACATATAATATTTATAAAATTATAATGTAATACAATATAATGCTAATAATAATATGAGATTATAATTATATATTTTACTAGCCATCCCCTGCCACGCGTTGCTGTGGCCCAGTCTGTTGATCTGGAAAATAAAGTAATGAGAAAGTGTTGGTTTCTAATATATGTACTTCCTTTCTGTTTGTGGGTAAACATTTTCTGTTGGTCAGGGGGGTTCTGTGTGGGAAGTTTCCCCTGATTCTGTCGTTGGTGGGGTTCAGAATGCTCTTTGACTGTAGGTGAACTGTGAATCCCAGGGACAACAACTTCCAAATGTCAAGGTCTATTTCCCCCAAACTCCATCTGTGTTCATATTTGGGCGTATTGAGTGCTTGTGGCAAGTTTGGTCCAGATCCATCATTGTTTGAGTCCACAGTGCTCTCTGAGTGTAGGTGAACTGCAACTCCCAAACTCAAGGTCAATGCCCACCAAACCCTTCCAGGATTTTCTGTTGGTCATGGGAGTCCTGTGTGCCAAGTTTGGTTCAATTCCATTGTTGATGGAGTTCAGAATGCTCTTTGATTATAGGTGAACTGTGAATCCCAGGGACTACAACTTCCAAATGTCAAGGTCTATTTTCCCCAAACTCCATCTGTGTTCATATTTGGGCGTATTGAGTGGTTGTGCTAAGTTTGGTCCAGATCCATCATTGTTTGAGTCCACAGTGCTCTCTGAGTGAACTGCGAACTACAACTCCCAAACTCAAGGTCAATGCCCACCAAACCTTCCAGTATTTTCTGTTGGTCAAGGGAGTTCTGTGTGCCAAGTTTGGTTCAATTCCATTGTTGGTGGAGTTCAGAATGCACTTTGATTGTAGGTGAACTATAAATCCCAGCAACTACAACTCCCAAATGACAAAATCATAATTTTTGAGTGATGGTCACTCCTTGTGTTGTGAGATGTTTTGTTGCCAAATTTGGTGTGATTTCGTTCATTGGTTCTTTTGTTTTTAAGGAACTCATTATGCACAGAGCATTTATACACACACACACACACACACACACATATTACATGTAATATTACTAATAATATTAAAAAATAATGGTTTAGGACAATATAGTAATATATAATACTGATATTGTATTATGCAAATAATATAATATATTTTGTGTGTGTGTGTGTGTGTACACATACATATACCTTGTAAGCCACTCTGAGTCCCCTTTGGGGTGAGAAGAGCAGCATGTAAATGTCGTAAATAAATAAATACATAAATAAATACATAAATTACATTGTAGATGCACCCTTAGATTGGACTGATTTGTGGATTCTTCATTTGTTTAATCCTTTTGTTCCCATTCTCCCACCTTTCAACTCCGCCATAACTTGAGTAGCATGTGTGCCATTTCAGGATTTTGGTGTTTGCTGCTGTCTATTAAAAGGATACAGCTCCAAAATGAGGATTAAAGTCTTCCGTGTTTCAAACTGATCCAGAAGCTGAATGATCCTCTCATGGGAGAGAGAGGCCAGAATGTCCCTCTCCCGATAAGCCTGCTCCCTTCTTTTGCCTCGTAGGGGGATAAACTTGGCGGCACAGGACACTCGGTTTTCTTTGTGGACCACCCTCTTGATAAAGCCAAAGGAACCCCTGTGAAGAAGGAAAACACCCTCAGGGGACACATTTTCAATACTGGAAGCAACAAGTTTCCTATGAAGTTCCTTCCCAGACTTCAAATATATATTCAGAAGAACAGTTGTGACTTCTAAGGGCTTTATCACATGAAGCTGATAAAGCGTAATTACAGCAGGACAATCTCTTTTCATTGGTAGAAAAATCATACAATCATAGATTCCTAGAGTTGGAAGAGACCTGGTGGGCCATCCAGTCGAACTCCATTCTGCCATTCTGTCAAAGCACCCCCAACAGATGGCCACCCCGTCTCTGTTTAGAAGCCTCCAAAGAAGAAGCCTCCACCCCACTCTGGGGCAGAGAGTTCCACTACTGAACAGATCTCACAGTCAGGAAGTTCTTCCTCATGTTCAGGTGGAATCTCCTTTCCTGTAGTTTGAGGCCATTGTTCCATTGCACCCTAGTCTTCAGGGCAGCAGAAAACAAGCTTGCTCCTTCCTCCCTATGACTTCCCCTCATATCTTAATACAAGGCCCTCATAATGTCCAGCTCTTTAAGCCACTCCTCATAGAGCTTGTTCTCCAGACCCTCGATCCTTTTAGTTGTCCTTCTCTGGACACATTCCAGCTTAGAGTCAACATCTCCCTTAAATTGCCATTTGTGATGAATTCCCTACCTGTTAGGCTAGAAAAAGCTCAGAAAAGTAGGTCCAGAAAGTTCAGCAGCCATTTTAGAGGGGTGCCTGGGGGCATCCATCTTAGAATCTCATTTCCTGGAGGGGGTGTGCTTAGGAGCAGCTTGGAGGGAAATGTGGGGAGTTTGTGATTGGCTGGGAGAGAGTGGTCGGAACTTAACTTGAGAAAAGAAAAAAATGACTTTAAGGATGCATTTTAAATCCTGACAGCTCAGACAGGGTCTGGGTATCAAAGAGGAAGGCAGTGAGGGTCTGTGTGTAAAAGAAGGAGAGAGGCGTCAGGGAGAGTGTGTGTTAGAGGAACAGAGTTAGAGAAGCCTGAAGTTGATCAGTTAGTCAGCAGAGTGAGTTAGTGAGAAGATTTACAGCTATTGGCAAGGCTAGCTGGGAGAGTGGAGAGACAGATCCCAAAAAGAAAAGGACTATCTGTGTGGAGTTTAGGATTACTAGGCAGAGAAGAATCCTGTCAGTAGTTTCTGGAGGGAGAGAGGAGTGTTATTTGTAACTAAGTTTTGAACTGTTTAAAGAAACCATACGCTTTATCCAATATTGAAACAGCTAAGCTTAATGCCTGTTTTGTTCAAATAAACAACATTGTTCTTTGTTCACAATCACTGTCTCAGTGTGCCTCTGTGTGTGAAGATCTAAAGTAGTTTATAGAAGAAATCAAGGTTAAATGGTGGCAGCGTGTATTTTAATAGGGGATCTCTTCAGTGTTACCTCAGAGAACAAAGCCTGAGTTCTAATCCAGCACCTTCTAGCCTAAAGATACCTCAAGACAAACCAAGGGCTTAACATTTCTTTAAATTGTGGTGGTAGCCAGTGTTCTTTTAAAAGGTTTTTCGGCCAGAAGATCGTTCCAGCTTATTCAGCTTTTGATTTTAAAATACCCCAAGCCACATTCCATTACAAGTGGTGTCAGCTTGTGGGATTTGCTAATAATAAATCTCCTATCTTTTATACCGTGCAAGTTGTCAATGAATCAAATAACTCTGTTGTTCCGAATTCTTTCTTATACTGATCTCCTGCTGCAGCCCTGATACTGCAAAGTGGAGGAAAGTCTTACAAGAATGTGATAATTAATTGCAGCAAAAGAGGATAAAACAAGAAAAATACAGCACAAATGCTCTGGTTGGGTGAACATAGGTAGGAAGCAAGGTTGTGATTGTAGAAATTTGCATCCACAAAATGCAAGCATAGTGCAATTGTGCCAAGGTGTGAAAGAAAGCATTCAAATTAATAGTATGTTTCCACTCGCTTAAACAATGCAATGCCATGTGCTAACAGATTAGTGTGATAAAGTCCTAATTTTTAATTGGAATTCTAAGTGAAAATTTGCTCTCACCTTCCTATTTCCTGCTTGACCTCATAGAAGGCATGAAGCTTTCTTCTTGTACTTTCTTTCTTGGCTTCTTGGCTTTTCTTATCTATAGTAGAAATTCAGACAACAATGCCAAATAAATGCTGGGATTTCCAGGTTGTGCTAAAAAGGAGCATACACATCCTGCTTGATGCATCTATTCACATACACATCCTGCTTGATGCGTCTTTGATCAAAGCATACTTTTGTGGGACTAATTATGGCTATTCTGAGTTTTCAAAGGACAGGGAATTGCTTTTTTTCTGAATCATGCCAGAGATAGCAGGATCATAGCCTTTGAGCTTGTGGTCACACCTTCTGGGACAGCGACAGACTGGAGATGCCCTCGATTATCCCATCCCTTGGGCCTGAAAGGGACTCAATCCAGGGTAAGAAGACATAAGCTTTTGAGATCAGACAGACAACCAATAAGTAAGGAGGAGATGTAAGAAACATATACAAGCTAGGCATAAGGAATATGATGGGTGGTGGGTCATACATCCAGTTACCTTCTTGGACCATCAGTTCCGCTTTGCATAAGACCTCCCCTGCTGAATTTTTGGCAACGAGAGTATAGACTCCCCCGTCTTCTGGCCTGGTGTTGTAAAGAATCAAGGAGTATCTTGTGCCTTCGTTGAACTGACGAATCCTTGCACTGTCTATCAACATTGAAATGCCCTGCAAGGATGAGAGTATATATTAATCTATATAAATAAAAATGTAATGTTCGTTTGTGGGATTAACATAACTCAAAAAAAGCTGGACGAATTGACACCAAATTTGGACACAAGACACCGACCAGGCCAACGAGTAACCATCACTCATAAAAACACTGAAAAACACAGCTGAAGCGACTAAAAAAACAAAAAACAAAAAATACATTACAATGCATGCACAAAACCACATATATACACATATACACATATATAGATACACAAAACACATATACAAAGACTGGATCACAGCAATGTGTGGCAGGGGACAGCTAGTGATATAATATCACAGAAGTGGAGAAATCAACTCAGACCAGGCCCGTAGCCAGGATTTTGTGTTTTTGGGGGGGCTGAGTTTGGTTCGGGGGGGCTGAGTCTGAGTGAAAGAGGGTCTACCCTAGCAAACCTTTTGTATCATTACCCCAATACCCCCATGCATATGGGATATATTGAGCATGGTGATCAGATCATGATATGAATAAACATAACAGTTTAAATAATGTACCAGTAAGGCCTTCTCGCAGACCACCATCAGAATTTGGGGGGGGCTGAAGCCCCCCAAGCCCCCCCCCCCACTACATGCCTGTCTCAGACGTACATTATGTTGGTGTGTAAAACATTTACACATGGGCCATCATGTTTGATGGTCTCTTACACAACTCCCCATGTTTGGGAGAAAATACAACTTTGTGTAACTTTTAAAAAAGTGGCTAGAAATTATACCCAGTACATCAAAACTGGTTTTAAAATCATCTATGTTTCTATTACTTTTGAAATGCCATTCTATGTCTGCAACATTTGCAAATAGTTAATGTGTTAATGCTAACACATTTTTGTTCTCAAATTAACAAGGTAATTCAGTCTAGAGCATTTACATGCACACTTTAATATAAGCAAAATTTCAACTTGGGAAAATTAAATTAATTTTGGGGGAAAAACACTATCCTTGGGGTGTTTTGATCAAGGTTCAGTGAAAATTAGAAGGGACAATAGAATGCCAATAATTTGTTTCTTAACACTCATCATCTTGCAGTCATGCCACATTATCACGGGGTGTCTGCGCCCTACACCACTGGAGAAATTACACTGTCTAACTGGTATTGCACCACCTGACATCCGCCGGGAAGTAGGAGCCAATAGTGAAAGGACCAAGGCAGAGACATCTCCAGCTCATCCCCTGTTTGGGTATCAGCCAGCACGTCAATGACTTAAATCAAGAAATAGTTTTCTAAGATCTACAGAGACACTCGCTGGAACACCTCAGCAAGCGAGAGTCCAAAAGTGGCAGGCTCAAACCCAGAACGTCAATCAATAGCTAATACCAAATGAGAGACTCCCCCCTGGGCACACAGAAAACTGGGCGACTTAGAGATGCAAAGCCAACCTTCAGAAATGGGGCTACAAAGTGGAATCCACGACATACAAGTGTGTAGAAGAGAAAACTACAGACCACCTGCTGCAATGCCACCTGAGCCCTGCCACATGCACAATGGATGGCCTCCTTGCAGCAACACCAGAGGCACTCCAAGTGGCCAGATACTGGTCAAAGGACATTTAATCAACTACCAAACTCGCAAATTTTGTATTTTATCTGTTTGTTTGTTTTGTTCTGTTAGAAATGTAGCACAATTGATTGGTTGTCCTGACACGACAAATAAAATCTTCCAGTGTTTATTGACCAGTTGGTGATATGACTGAACTCATTTTTCTTTATATGTCCTCCCATTTCACAATATTTCCAACCTACCTTGAACCACAAAACAATGGGATCTCCTTCAATTATGGCATGAAACTTTGCCATCTCCCCACAACGAACTTGTACATCCTCAATCGTCACTTGCATGTATGGTGGGCCTGATGAGATAAAAACATTAGTTAGACTGGAAAAGTATTCCATAGGGATATAAATCCTCAATCATTTCCTCTTTGGATGCAAGGAGGAATAGTTAAGGTAGTTTTCTCCATCCTCTAGAAGAAAATGGATATGCCTCTAAGATATTCATCATCTTCCAAAGTATTGCACAAGAATTATTCTGTGCAGGAAAACATGTTTTCTGTGCAAAAATCAGTTTTTTGCACAGAAATAATTTTTGTATGCGAAAAATGTTTTCTACACAGGAAACTGTACAGAAAAATAGAACAAAACACACATGCTTTTCTCTTCAGACTACTCCTGTGATATACTTTGGTTCATTTTGACTTTAGAGTGGAACATGTTTGTCTTACTTGCTGCAACTTTCTCTGCCATTTTGGGGATGCAGGTTCTCTCAATGGTCTCCATATAAAATTGTCTCTCTCTCTCCAGGATATCCGCTCCATCGCCACTCTGCCCTTCTGCTCCATCCATTGTTTGGGAAGTTCTTTGGTATTAAATTAAGAAGGAAAATCACAATGCAAACAGGATTTTTTTTCAATACATTTTATTAGTGGTTTTTTTTTTGCACATAAGGGAGAATGAATTCACAGGGATAAAGGAAAGTAAGTGGGGAGGGGGAAGTGGGTTCTAGGAATGTAAGGGGAAGGGCAGAAAAAGGAAAGTTGGGGAGAAAGAAAATGAAAAATATTTTAAAAATTAAAAAATTAAAAAATAAAGCGGGGGGGGGGGGTTATTTTGTGTCTCTTCCGCAAACAGGATTTTGAAATAAAGCGATCAAAATCTTTGGGCCACGGTAGTACAAGAAAATTCTTGCCACTTTACTGTGAATAGAAGACTCCAAGATATTTTTCGTTTTTTATTTGAGTGGGAAGCTGTGAGATTATATGCATTAAAAATTCTCATATTTTAATGCATTTTAATCTATATATTTATTGGGTTGTTGTAGGTTTTTTCGGGCTATATGGCCATGTTCTAGAGGCATTTCTCCTGACGTTTCGCCTGCATCTATGGCAAGCATCCTCAGAGGTAGTGAGGTCTGTTGGAACTAGGAAAAAGGATTTATATATCTGTGGAATGACCAGGGTGGTACAAAGGACTCTTGTCTGCTGGAACTAGGTATGAATGTTTCAACTGATCCCAGCAACTACAACTCCAAAATGACAAAATTCATTTTTTTTAATGAAGGACATACATTGGACTGTTAGGTGTCTTGTGTCCAAATTTGGTGTCAATTTGTCCAGTTGTTTTTGAGTTCTGTTAATCCCACAAACGAACATTACATTTTTATTTATATAGATTACCTAATTCATCTGATCATGAAAGACGCCCAAGCATGAAATGGGACAGAAAGGGATTCAAAGGTACTGTACCTGAATTGCACAGGGAAGTTACCTTGCAATGGGAATGGTCTCTTCATGAATCCCATCATCCTGGACAGCTGTGTCTTTTTGAGCAAAGACTTGACTTATTTCACCTTTGTCTGCCATTTCAGCAATAGGCTCCCGTTTTTGGGCTAGCAGCGAAAACAGAAGTGGTTAGTTTGTGAACACACAACTGGAATGGAAGGAGAACAAGAGAGCGACACTTGCAATGATGTCTACTTCAGCCCTTTTCTTTATGCCTTCTCCAACAGGAAACATAAGCTAGAAAGGTTTTACATAAATCAATTTGGAACGAGCTTTTCATGGGTTCCTCTCAAACTACAATGGCACAGATTTCACAAAGGGTAACCAGATTGCAATCATATCGTATCTTTTAGGACTTTTGAATCCTAAGAATGGGGCCAGGTGCAGAATGTTGGTGCAATGCAGGAGCTGTGTATGGAAATCATAGAATCATAGAATCCAGTCCAACCCCCTACCAAGAAGCAGGAAAATTGCATTCAAAGCACCCCCGACAGATGGCCATCCAACCTTCGTTTAAAAGCCTCCAAAGAAAGTTCTTCCTCTTCCAAAGAAGGAGCCTCCAACACAAATCATTGATAAACCCAGCATGAAACTGTTTCATTTAGTGGGGATAATGCTTCAATTTTCAAAACAGGAATACAGTAGTAGCAAACTTCTTGCATCAGTCAGGAGATGGCTTTACCCAGTGCTATTCCAGGAGGAACTCCATGAATGAACACTAGTCCATACAGCATCAGCCACTTGTCTCTGGAGTGTAAGCAAGTATATAGCCAAAAGGTTCAGCTATGGTATCTCTTCCTGGTACTTTGGGGGAAAATAATCTTCCTCATCAGATAACTTGGTAAGCCCTGGTTTAAATAGCCTTTCAGACACTTTCCAGTATAAGGACCTATGATTCTGGAAGGCTTGGGTTCCATGGACACTTCTGTGGAAACCTCAAGAGTTTCTGTGTGTGCAGAAGAATTTTGCACTGCTGCCAGCAATCTCTGAGAGAAGTAATATGTATTTTAGTGTTAGGGAAAATAATCCAGACAAGACCCTGACATGTCGAGATACATCGCTGAATACAAAATTAGGATCATCCATGCCATTGTGAAAGGTGGACAGTGAAGAAAGCAGATTGGAAGAAAATTAACTCATTTGACATGTAATACAGGAAGTAAGTTCTGCAGATGCTGTGGACCACATCAAAATTAAACTCTCACTTGAAACCAAGATGACTAAACTAGGGATGTCATACGTTGACCATTATATCAAGATTATTATTCACTGGAAAATATTATAATCCTTGGGACAATGGGGAGCAGTAGGAAAACAGAAGGACCATTTCCCAGATAGGGAAACTCAAGCAAAGAAGCCCTGGTTGCCCTTAATCTGCAAGACCTGAAGAGGTCCATTAAGGTGACCTTGAAGTTTCTCATTCTTGGATTGCCATAAGTAAAAGTCATCTTCATGGCAGTTAACAACAGTTCCAGAGAAACATTGATCCAGTTGTGACCTTACCAACAGACAGACTTTACATCCAGTCTTGTAAGGAACATGCTTTCTAACCCTCAAATAAGGGACATCCCTTATAATACAGTGGGCCTTCTATATCTGCAGGGGTTTGGTTCTGGGACCTACCATATATGGTTCCGAACCATATTACTGGTATTAAATGCTGTTGATATGAAGGTACACACTTCAGCCTGCCCATGTTCACATTCACACATGGTCACCAGAAAACATGGATTCAGATCAACCAGATCCAAATGCCCCAATGTAATGGATGCTTGGCAACCTTACATGGAGAGGGCACCATTTTGTGTTCTTTACTTCAAGGAGAAAAACATCCCAAACCAGTTCCAAACAAACTATGAGAATGTATTTTGAAGTGTGACAAATTCTGACACGTTCTAACTGGACCTCACTTTTCGTCTTGATTTTAGTCTCCTGCTTCCTTCTTCTCTCCGTTCCTTTGCATTCTTACCTCTCTCCATAACAGATGGTGCCCCATTTCCACGTAACCATGCCAAGGATCCTTTCAAGACTAGTACATCCTAACCCACTTTGAAGCTTTGCTCCAACCCATAATGATCTTGATTCAGATGTAACTTTTCAAAAGCTATTAGTTGTGCCAAGGTGGTGTTGGAGGAAGAACATTAAGGTGACCTTGATGCAGTCATAAATTATCCGTTTCATATCATACACCATATTATATGGTTTGAAACTACATTATATGGTTAGTGTAGAGTCATATAATACAGTTCGTTGCAGTTAAACTGCATTATATGAGTCTACATTGACCATATAGTGCAGTTCTGGGGCCGGGTTTAGCACAGCAGGCTAAACCGCTGTGCTGCAGAGATATCCTGCTGATCAGAAGGTCATCAATTCGAGCCTGGGTTGGAGTGAGCACCTCCTGTTAGCCCCAGCTCACCTGCCCACCTAACAGGTCGGAAGCAGAAATGCGAGTAGATAAAATAGGTACCATTTTTAGCGGAGAGGTAATAAAGGTGCCTTTAAAGACATCAATTGGAGGATAGCTCCTAGGCATGCAAGATGGAGCAACAACATCGAGCACAGCCTCCAAGATGCCAGAAATAAGATGGGAAAAAATGCCTTTACCTCTATGTGTGTTGTCTATCCTTGTTAATTGTATAATTGGCATTGAATGTTTGCCATATGTGTGTTCTGTGAAGCCGCTCTTTGGGTCCCCTTTGGGGTGAGAAGGGCAGGGTATAAATACTGTAAATAAATAAATTACAAATTAAATAGATGGGGCCATGATTTCCAGAGGTGGTCCTATGGTTTGAAGAAGAATGTCCTTCTCTCTGAATTTGTTTTAGATTTATTTCAGGTGTTCTAATGCAAACGTGCCATTTTACTGATATATGACAACACTGCGACTCTCCTTTGTCAGGGGGAGAAAAAAGGGCGACATATTGTTCTATGATGTGTCTCAAAATTAAAAAAGGAAAGCATTTGAGGTCAAAAATAAGTGTAGTAACTGAGAATTTTCTGGAATTGCCACAAAAAAGGTTGAATATTTAAATTACCCTCAGAACTCTAGCAACCTCTTTGATATATTTTCTCCATGAGGAGAAGCCTTCAAACCAGGCATGGGCAAACTTCGGCCCTCCAGGTGTTTTGGACTTCAACTCGTTGTTGTATGTCAGCCTGTTCAGCCTGTGATTGTGCCTGATGTTTATGTTGATGTTCATGATTGGAATGGAGATGATATTCCTGATGGTGGGACTGGTCTGTTGGCATCGGGGATGAGGGTTTGCTTGGGCCTGAGTTAAGTTGAGGCCTAAGCTGTCTTAGGAAGATTCACAAGGCCACATTCTTGGGAGAGGCCCTTGACAGCTTTTCTCAGAACAACTGTCTGAAAATGATTTGTCAGGGGCAGAAATTAATGAGGGAGAAGGTAATGAAAGCTTGGACAGAAAACAAAGTTTTAGTAAACAGAGACAAAGTCTTCAGAGACTGAGATCATCAGTTTGTCTACAACAAAAGAGAGATAACAAACCTTTATCTGGTGGGAAAGTCAAGAGAAATGCTTTCCTTTCAGTTTTGAGATCTGAAAAAGCTTTATAATGATTCATGGGAGAGAGTTGCCTCAGTTGAGCCAACATTGTTATTTTATCCTGGTCTTGCTTTCAAGTGCTCTGAGTTTCATGTACCATGTTTTTGCCAAGATTTGTCTATGAGATTTTTCTGTTATCTTGTTTCATGGATTCAAGTGCCTAGTTTCATGGATTTTTATGTAATCATGGATCTTGTTTTCCTTTGAAGCTTATGGACGTAGGGGCGGCTCAAGCATTATGCAAAGTAAGCATTTGTAGTATAGTTGATTTTGCCCAGGGGCGCTCTTGAGGGAAAATAGACCTTGACATATGCGAGTTGTAGTTACTGGGATGTATAGTTCACCTACAGTCAAAGAGCATTCTGAACTCCACCAATGATGGAATTGAACTAAATATGGCACACCGAACTCCCACGACAAACATAAAATATATATCAATGATTGGTTGGTGGGGGGGGCGCCAAAATACTGTTTGCTTACCGTTGAAAATTACCTAGGGCCGCCTCTGTATAGACGATGATATATATTGGACCTTCACTGTTTTTGTTATTTTTTTGCTGCTCTGTCTACATATATTCTTCCATAAACTCCTTGCTGATTTTACCAAGCTCATATTGTGTTTAAGGTCAGAGATGTTATTGCTCTAGTGTATGACACTCCCACAATTCCTAGCAGCTGGTAGGCTGTTAGGAATTGTGGAAGTTGAAGTCCAAAACACCTGGAGGGCTGAAGTTTTCCCATGCCTGCTTCAAACTCATTTGGGACTCCGTCAAATCATAGAATTATAGAGTTGGAAGGGACCTCATGGGCCATCCCAGTCCAACCCCATTCTGCCAAGAAGCAGGAATATTGCATTCAAAGCACCCCTGACAGATGATCATCCGGCCTCTGTTTAAAAGCCTCCAAAGAAGGAGCCTCCACCACACTCCTGGGCAGAGAGTTGCATTGTATAGACCAGTTCCATTGCTGAACGGCTCTCACAGTCAGGAAGTTCTTCCTCATGTTCAGATGGAATCTCCTCTCTTGTAGTTTGAAACCATTGTTCCATTGCGTCCTAGTCTCCAAGGAAGCAGAAAACAAGCTTGCTCCCTCCTCCCTATGACTTCCTCTCCCGTTAGATCCGTGGTTCTCAACCTGGGGTCCCCAGATGTTTGGGCCTACAACTCCCAGAAACCCCAGCCAGTTTACCAGTGGTTAGGATTTCTGGGAGTTGTAGGCCAAAAATATCTGGGGACCCCAGGTTGAGAACCACTGCTTTACTTCCTTTTGAACTATGGCATCTTTGAAAGAAATGCACCAAAACTTAGAAATCATTTGAAAACAAGACACAAAAGAGATGGAGTAGTACAGCAGCTGATATTAGACATTTATTGATACGAAATTGAGCAGCTAATAAATAGCACGTCCTGTCTTAGACTGCGTCTCTCAAACAATCTGCCTTCCATTTTCCTCTTCTGTTGAGAATACGTTTTAGGAATAGGTTCACTTTTTAAAAAATAAGAAATAAATCCCCACACGGCTCTTTCGGTTTCTACAATCAGGTACAAAGCAAAAATACACTTTGAATCTCTAGGAAAACACCTTGAAAATAAACAGAGAAATTCTTTTCTCTCTCTAAGTATTGTGAAGGAAGGAACGCATCCTTCCATCAAGTTACTTTTCTGCTTCGAAAAAGATAATGTAAACCAGTGTTGGGTGATCGAAGGAAAGTTGTCATTCTTTATAACAAACCATTCTTTGGATATATATATATATATATATATATATTCCACCTAAACATTAGGGATAACGGGGTTGTTGTAGGTTTTTTCGGGCTATATGGCCATGTTCTAGAGGCATTTTCTCCTGACGTTTCGCCTGCATCTATGGCAAGCATCCTCAGAGGTAGTGAGGTCTGTTGGAAGTAGGAAAATGGGTTTATATATCTGTGGAAAGACCAGGGTGGGACAAAGGACTTTTGTCTGCTGCAGCTAGGTGTGAATGTTTCAACTGACCACCTTGATTAGCATTTAATGGCTTGGAAGTGCCTGGGGAATCTTTCTTTGAGGGGTGATTTGATGTGCCTGATTGTTTACTCTCTGTTGTTTTGCTGTTGTAATTTTTGAGTTTTTTAATACTGGTAGCCAGATTTTTTTTGTCTTCATCCAGTTGATTTCCAGGTTTTCCACATGCTAAAAAAACTCTATTTTTTAGAGTTTTTTTAGCATGTGGACAATTTCAGCATAAAGGAAGAAACCATGAAAATGAACAAAATCTGGCTACCAGTATTAAACTCTAAAATCATAACATCAACAGAGAGGAAACAAACAAGGACATCTAATCACCTCTCAAAAAAGTTTGCTCCAGGCACTGTCAGGCCATTATATGCTAATCAAGGTGGTCAGTTGAAACATTCACACCTAGCTCCAGCAGACAAGAGTCCTTTGTCCCACCCTAGTCTTTCCACAGATATATAAACCCTTTTTCTTACTTCCAACAGACCTCACTACCTCTGAGCATGCTTGCCATAGATGCAAGCGAAATGTCAGGAGAAAATGACTCTAGAACATGGCCATATAGCCCAGAAAACCTACAACAACCCAGTGATTCCGGCCATGAAAGCCTTCGACAATACATTAAAAACAAAAGATTAGCATGTATGCACATCTGTACAGACATAACACTTGCTTGTAAGTTCTGCTTATAGGATTACAACAGCCCGCTATGGAAGATTTCCAAATCTGGTGCCGTCTTCCAAAAATATTAGGTGAAATAATCTATTGCAGAGAGGTATTTCCATCTTTTGAAATGTCTGTATTTTTCCAATGTAAAATTCATAGTGCAAGACACTATGGATCAGGCATGGTCAAACTTCAGCTTTCCAGGAATTGTAGGAGTTGAAGTCCAAAACATGAGTAAAACATGTACACAATTGCAATGTAATGTTATTACACTGCGGGATTGAAGTACCATCATTGGTATAAACAAACCACTGGTGGTGCAATGGGTTAAACCCTTGTGCCAGCAGGACTGAAGACTGACAGGTCAGAAATTCGAATCTGGGGAGAGCGCAGATGAGCTCCCTCTGTCAGCACCAGCTCCTCATACAGGGGACATGAGAGAAGCCTCCCACGAGGATGGTAAAACATCAAAACATCTGGGCGTAAACAAACCCTGGTGGTGCAGTGGGTTAAACCCTTGTGCCAGCAGGACTGAAGACCAACAAGTCGGAAATTCGAATCTGGGGAGAGTGCGGATGAGCTCCCTCTGTCAGCTCCATCTCCTCATTCGGGGACATGAGAGAAGTCTCCCACGAGGATGGTAAAACATCAAAACATCTGGACGTAAACAAACCCTGGTGGTGCAATGGGTTAAACCCTTGTGCCAGCAGGACTGAAGACCGACAGATCGGAAATTCGAATCCGGGGAGAGAGCGGATGAGCTCCCTCTGTCAGCTCCAGCTCCTCATGCGGGGGGACATGAGAGAAGCCTCCCACGAGGATGGTAAAACATCAAAACATCTGGGCGTAAACAAACCCTCGTGGTGCAATGGGTTAAATCCTTGTGCCGCCAGGACTGAAGACCGACAGGTGGGAAATTCGAATCCGGGGAGAGTGCAGATGAGCTCCCTCTGCCAGCTCCAGCTCCTCATACGGGGGACATGAAAGAAGCCTCCCACAAGGATGGTAAAATATCAAAACATCTGGGCGTCCCTTGGGCAATGTCTTTGCAGACGGCCAATTCTCGCACACCAGAAGCGACTTGCAGTTTCTCAAGTCGCTCTTGACATGAAAAAAAAAATTGGGATAAAGCTGTGTTCAGAGGAAGCCTTGATAATAATATTTGAGGTGGGTTGTTGTAGTTTTTCCGGGCTATATGGCCATGTTCTAGAGGCATTTTCTCCTGACGTTTTGCGACTTCACTACCTCTGAGGATGCTTGCCATAGATGCAGGCAAAACGTCAGGAGAAAATGCCTCTAGAACATGGCCATATAGCCCGAAAAAACCTACAACAACCCAGTGATTCTGGCCATGAAAGCCTTCGACAATATTTGAGGTGGTTTGTGAACTTGAGTATGCTACGTGTCATATTGCTTCCTCTGTAAAACAGAGCCATACAAATAAACAAAAAAGAATTTTGCTGAAAATGCTTGAAAAATGACCTGTCCAGATAGATAGATAGATAGATAGATAGATAGATAGATAGATAGATGGACAGGTCATTTTCAAGCAACGGCACAGTGGGTTAAACCGCTGAGCTGCTGAACTTGTTAACCGAAAGGTTGGCTGTTAGAATCGGGGGAACAGGGTGAGCTCCCGCTGTTAGCCCCAGCTTCTGCCAGCCTAGCAGTTCAAAACCATGCACAAGTGAGTAGATCAATAGGTACTGCTTCTGCAGGAAGGTAAACGGTGCTCCATGCAGTCATGCTGGCCACATGACCTTGGAGGTGTCTACGGACAATGCCGGCTCTTTGGCTTAGATATGGAGATAAGCACCAACCCCCAGAGTCGGACATGAATAGACTTAATGTCAAGGGGAAACTTTTACTTTTTATATTATGTGTGTGTGTGTATGCCTTCTTGTTGTTTTTAAATACTTGTTTTTTTCCAGTGACACTGATAGTTAAGACACTGATACAGAGGCAAGTCAATTCAGTATTCCATACAGCTCTTTATTTACTCATGAGCAAATCAGCTACCAATATTAGACGTGTTTTAGTTTAGTATGTGTTCATACATTGTCATTCCGTTGACAAATGAGTTGTGATGTCACAATGGCAATTGCCTTAAAATTAAAGAAATACTTAGAGGAGGATTGGATTCCAGATGGAGCTCTGCCAACAGCTCAAAACAGTTGAAGAACGAAATTGTATCAACACTGTTGGCAATGAAAACATTATAGATCAGGTTGAAAATAGCAATTATCTATTATGTTCAATTCTTGTGAGTTTTTTCGGGCTATATGGCCATGTTCTAGAGGCATTTCTCCTGACGTTTCGCCTGCATCTATGGCAAGCATCCTCAGAGGTGAGGTCAGACCTCACCTCTGAGGATGCTTGCCATAGATGCAGGCGAAACGTCACCTCTGAGGATGCTTGCCATAGATGCAGGCGAAACGTCAGGAGAAATGCCTCTAGAACATGGCCATATAGCCCGAAAAAACCCACAAGAACTGAGTGATTCCAGCCATGAAAGCCTTTGACAATACATCTATTATGTTGTCTTGTGTTATATCTCATAGGATTAAACTGGTTTTAAAAAGAAATGCCAGTGTAATTAATTTGTGGATCACACTGTTGATCAATCCAGCTTTGTTTGACACCAGAATAAAAGCTCAAAGTCTTTGCAATTTGGTTTTAATTCTATTGCAAAGCAATGAACAACTTGACATGGCTTGTACCATCAAAATGGTGCCTGTGTTTCAAACTTAAAGTAAATCATTATTTAAATGTTCAGAAGCAATTTAAGGTCATTATGTTGTGTATTCAAAATGCTGCAAAAGAGGCAAGCCATCTTTCCTACAGCTTAATTGTAGAGTTTGGCAGCCCATAATAATAACAACCATGTGAATTATTTCTGGAGGGCTGGTTACTAATTCTCCCATAGGCTCACACTTTGTCATGGAATGGTGTGCCCTCTTAAAAATCACAAATCAAAGGTTACATTACATCTAGCGCAGTGTTCCCTTTAAGACTGGAGAGACTCCACGTTTAATATACAGTATTTTCCATATCATATTTTTCTGTTAGGTTCCAATGATCATTTCCTTCTTAAGGCTCTTGGTGTTGCATATCGTTATTACTTATGGTAAAGTTCGTATTAACTAACTAGAGAGGAAAGCGACCTTGTTTTGGCTCAACTTTGGGAGGAGTCTTCCTTCTTGATGCAGAGCGTGACGGTTTCTCCGACCGTTCCATAGCTGTGGGTTCTGGTGGATACTTCAGTTTTGAAACTGGATTGTCCATTGTCTGCAGTCAGCTGTACCTCGGTGCAGAAAGATGAGCTCAATTTGAACGGTGTTGATGTTGTATGTGTAGCTGGTGTGGCCATCGCGGCTGCGGAGGAATCACTGACATGGAAGGAGATGTTGGATGGACCCATGGACTGTCCTCCTGTCATAGTGGAAGCTGACACAAAGACCTCTCCAGGGTGATGTCCTTCAAACTCTCTAAAAAAGGTTTGCCGTGGGCTAGAAACCACAGGTCTGCCCACGTTGAGCAAAACCGGCTTCCCAATGGTGGGTTTGTTAATTTCCGTCTGGAGCACTGCAATTTCGCAAGGTCTGTCTTCTGCGGAGTTTGGGCCCCCACTTCTGTACATCTCCCCTTCTTCAGGGACGTAGTCCTCCAGGTCCTCAAAAGTTAACACTTTTCCATTACGGGTCAGGATTTTGAGATCTCGGTGTTGGAGGTCATCCAAACCCACCTGCTCTGGTTCATCTATTATAACATCTTCCGCAAGAACAAACTCATCTTGCATGGGACCTGAGGGTTCATCTTTGGCTACACATACTGGATCACATTCAGCAGCATCATCTGTCTCCTTTAGAAATTCATGTGGTTGTAGACAGTCATCCTTGTCCACCACAGTGGCCTCAAATGGCTCAGCTACAAAGGCAACCACAGGGGATTTTGGAGGTGAACTGGTCTTGCTGATGGATTCTTGAGGGCTGCTCTTGTCTTCCAACATTTTGTGAACTTTCTCAGTTATAGTAGTGACTTGTGGTCCCTTGTAGTCCACTCCAGCTTTCTCAGCACCTTGGGATAGGAAAGTCTCTGCCTGCTCAACTAACTTATTGTTGGAGTTATTTGCATTTGGATCATCTTCAGATGAACGTCTAGGCTTGGTGCCACGCCGGGGATAACTCGACCCAAATTCATCCCTGTCTGATCTCGCAGGAGATGCTCCTCTCTTCCTTGTCGTTTGGGTGGGCTTCATCACATTGAACTCAATGATTTCTTCTACTTCCACCCACTTGGGTTTCTGCTCCTCCACAGTGGTTTCTACGATCATACTCCTGACCCCTGCCCCTTGCCTTTCGTCCGGCTCGGTCACAAAAAGAGTAGGGATGCCTGCCTTCTGCATTGCTTCTGGGTCGTGCCGGTGGGTGGGTTGCCTAATCTTGGTCACAAATATTGGTTCTGGTGTTGAAAACTCAGATCTCGGGGAGTGAGAAGACGAATAGCTAGAAGGTGGGCGGGCAGGAGATATCCGTCGCTTTACCCTTGGGGTCTTCACCACTGTGGTTATGGTCTCCTCTCTGATGAGGAAAATGTTGGAAGACTGTGTTTGTGTGTGGAGTGAAACTAACCCCGCAACCCTGCACACTTTGGGGTGCATTCCTCGTCACATGCTAACGCCAAACAGGCAGGGTTAGGCTTTGTGAGCATTTCAGCAACATGTGAGCGCTGGCATCAGAAAAGCATGCAACAACACTCACCCATATGATCATCTCAAACTCAGACTAGCTTCTTTGACAACTTTCCGATATTCCTTGGGCACATTTGGCTCTCATTGACCAGAGCATCTCAGATTGTCTATTTTACTTGAGAATAAGAGAGACTCTCCCAAATGGAGACCAAGCAACACTTTGGGCAAAAATTGACCAGACCTTCTCAGATGGTCTACAGCAGTGGTTCTCAACCTGTGAGTCTCCAGATGTTTTGGCCTTCAACTCCCAGAAATCCTGACAGCTGGTAAACTGGTTGGGATTTCTGGAAGTTGGAGGCCAAAACACCTGGGGACCCACAGGTTGAGAACGACTGGTCTACAGTGTTCTCTCACTTATTACGGGTGTTACATTCCAGGACCACCCGCAAAAAGTGAAAATCCGTGAAGTAGGGATGCTATATATGTATATCGAGTTACGAGAGTGAGGCAGAAGCGGGGAGAGATTTAAAGGCACCACACACCTCTTCTTTTGCTAGCTATCTCTGCTTTGTTTGGCAATCTCTCTTAACTGGCTGCCTCTCTCCCGAGGGGGATGATGAAACCCCCTTCCACACTCCATTGTTGTCAAGAGGCAGGATTAGAACGCTGCTCTGGGCAATGACAACCAGTTGTAAACTGGGAGGCAAAAACCCGCGAAACAGCGAGTCCGCAAAATGCAAACTGCGAAGTAGCAAGGGAACGCTGTATTCTACTTGAGGATTCTGTATATATAAAATACTCCCAAATGTGGAGGCCAAGATACATTATAGGAAAAATGGACCATCTCTATTTTACTTGATGATTCTGTATGGTAAGGGTGACCTCCAAAGTTTGGAGGCAAAGCAATATTTTTGTTCCTGAAATAATGTGCCACATTGTGTTTTTCTTTTGTTTTAAGACATGCCACTGACAAGCTATGGGGAAACTACCATGACCTTTAGAATTACTAGTGCTCCGGCACAAATAGTTGTTTTTGCCTTCAGGTTGCTTCCATCTTATAATGACCTTAAGGCAAGCTTATCTTCTGTTTTCTTGGCAAGGTTTGTTGAGAGGAGGATTCATCCGTGCCTTCATTTGAGGCTGAGAGCATAAGAGTTGCCCAAGGTCACCCACTAGATTTTGATGGCTGAGTGAGGATTTGGATGCTCTTCATAAAAATCTTGTTAATGATCTTTTAAAAATTATGTTAATCAGTTGTCAATTAACAAAGTTATATTGCAACGTGCGGCAAGCAGGCAAGACTTCACAGCACAGTTATGCGATAGCAGTAAAAATTGAGTATCAACCCAAAGACTGAGAATCTAACCAGGTCACTATGGAACTAACCAGGTCACTATGGAACTTCTCGTTGTATTTCATTAGTAGAAGAACTGATGTTCTATTCAGTGGTTCTCAACCTGGGGTTCCCAGATGTTTTTGGCCTACAACTCCCAGAAATCCTAACAGCTGGTGAACTGGCTGGGTTTTCTGGGAGTTGTAGGCCAAAAACATCTGGGGACCCCAGGCTGAGAACCACCGTCTATGTGTTCACCAATATGATAAAGAAGGCTCTCTGGGTTTCATCTCATTTTGTGGTGAAGTGTTCCTTATTTCCATGATGAGCTTCTCTGCTCATCATTACAATATGTACATCTGATTTGCAGGACATCGCTTTATAATTACTTAGAATTATGTAGAATGTCCATAGATATTGGGACCAAGACTAGCTTTCATTATCTTTTGAAATTTAAGGTTTGAAGGATTGGAGATCTGGTGACCAGCTGCAATCAAAGAGTACATTTCAGTGGGTTTCAACATGTGGTAAGGAGCCCCTGGTGGCACAGTGGGTTAAATCCTTGTGTCAGCAGGACTGAAGACCAACAGGATGTAGGTTTGAATCCGGGGAGAGGACAGATGAGCTCCCTCTGTCAGCTCCAGCTCCCCATGTGGGGACATGAGAGAAGCCTCCCACAAGGATGGTAAAACATCAAAACATCCGGGCATCCCCTGGGCAATGTCCTTGCGGATTGTCAATTCTCTCACAGCAGAAGCAACTTGCAGTTTCTCAAGTCGCTTCTGACAGCAAAGAAAATGTGGTAGATTGTTGCTCAAATATTTCTAGGAAGCTAAAAGCTTTTTCCCCCTCTTTTGTTTCCAATCAAACAAAAACTTTTGACAACAACATTGGCAAATGAAAGAGCAGTGGCTGTTCTTCATGGATCAAGGGAGTTGCCTTATTCAACTTTGTGACAATTCCACACAGTCTGGTTGGCTCATGACTATGTGATGTCAACAAACCACGTTTGATGGGCAATATGGAGACCAAGGGAAGCATATTTTCTTAAAACACTATGGTAATATTTGCCAGTAGAAGCAGAAAATATATGCAAACATGTACATTGGACCCTTGGCATCCACTGGGGTTTCGTTCCAGATACCAAATTGCTCAAGTCCAAGTAACATAATGAAATAGCATCTCTTATATGTAATGGCAAAAACAAGATTTGCTATTTTGGGATGGAGGATTAGAATATTTTCAAGCTGTGGTTGGTTGGATCCATGGATACAGAACCCACAGATATGTAGGATTGAATGTATAGCATGAGAATAAGGATTGAGAAAACATTTTTGGTCACCTTGTCTCAGCTCAAGAAGAGAGGGGAAAAAAGAGGACGAAAAGAAGGCAAGTTAAAAGGCATGTTAGTATGCACGAGCACATCTTTTGAAGAGGTTGCGTTCAAAGATGGAATCTCTATCTGTTTATTTAATCTTTGGCCTGCTCACCTTGCAATAAAAAATAGAATTAGACGGATACTATAGGTTTAAGTGCTAATTTTGCAGTGAGAGATGGGTTACAGGTCTCGTCGCCAACCCTATTGCTTCCTTTCCTCGTAAGACAAAAATACCACAAGATCTGATGGGATGGGGGGAGGGAAAAAAATATTCACACTTGCATGACCAATAAACCCAGGCGTATTATTGGGACATGCAGAGGCAGCACATCACAACGTGAATGTTAAAAAATATCAACACTTACATGATGATGGTTTTCTTGGGCACTTTAGTCTCTTGTTCAGTGACTACAAAGAAAACAGTATGAACAGCATGGGGTTAAAGAACGGCAGAAGCTGAAACGACGACATTAACTTTGTTAAGCGAATCAAGAAGAAAACTTGATTGGAAAGAATTAAAATTTAGAGCGGGGAGAGGGGGAGAACATACACCATCCCATCACTGCTTTCTGTGGTTGTTTCAAACATTTCCATTTGCAAAATAGTCCTGAGAGTTGGATCCACAATCGCTTCAGTTGAAAACATGCTTGCACGGTGTAAATTGGCATCATTAGTGTTTGTTCTCAAACCAATGGGATCAGCATCTTGGCATAAAACTCTACGGCTGGATCTACACTGGATCTGATCCCAGATTATCTGCTTTGAACTGGATTATATGAGTCTGCACTGCCAGATAATCTGAGATAAACAAATAATCTGGGATCGGATCCTGGGGTATAGATCCAGCCTAAGGAGCCTATACATGGTCTGTAAGATAGACTTCAATCAAAGTTAGAATAACAGTCTTCACTTGTATCTGGTCCCCATGTGCAACTCCTATGATCAGTGGTTCTCAACCTTCCTAATGCCGTGACCCCTAAATACAGTTCCTCATGTTGTAGTGACTCCCAACCATAACATTATTTTCGTTGCTCCTTTAGAACTGTAATTATTCTACTGTTATGAATCGTAATGTAAATGTATTTTCATTGTTACAAATTGATCATAATTAAAGCATAGTCATTAATCAGGGAAACAACATGTTTTGGGGAGGTTGGACAATGGATGATGGGATCTACAGTCCCTCTGACTTCCACAGACCTGGGTCGCCCAGCTCGGGGGGGGAGGGCCTGGGCCCTGTGGGGAGCCATTTTGAGGAAGGGGACAGGGCCAAAGGAGGTGGCCTCGCGACCCCTCCAAAATGGCCAAGCGACCCCCCTGGGGGTCGTGACCCCCACGTTGAGAACCACTGCCTATGATGATGGATTTCTTCTTTCCAATAATGGTCAACTTAGGGACCTTACATGAAGCAAGGGGTCGGGGTGGCATCTGAATAGAAGAATGAGTTAGTCAATTTACTGTATATACTCATGGACAAATCAAGCTCATGTATCAGTAGGGGAACGTGTTGGAATCCAAAATTATGGATCTTGAGATGACTCATGGAAAAAGTGAAGGGTTATTCCATGGAGAGGGGGAAACACATTAACAGGTCATCCGCTTCTGGTTACCAATATTTTCCCACCGAAACCTTCAATAAGGTCAGAAGTAGCTCCATAGCAAAGAGAGTGAAGAGGGACGATTTTTTTTTTTAGGTTCCTTTGGGACAAACTAAACTCTCACCTTTTGGCATTCTTCACAGAGAAGGCAATGATAAGAGTTGAAATACCATACTTACCTTGACTCCTAGGCTCCATCAACACTACTAGTCAGTGTAGATTAACTTAATGCAGTTAAACTGCATTATGTGAGTCTACACCAGGCATGGGCAAACTTTGTCTCTCCAGGTATTTTGGACTTCAACTCTCATAATTCCTAACAGCCAATAGGTTGTCGAAGGCTTTCATGGCCGGAATCACTGGGTTGTTGTAGGTTTTTTCCGGGCTATATGGCCATGTTCTAGAGGCATTTTCTCCTGACGTTTCGCCTGCATCTATGGCAAGCATCCTTACTATCTCTGAGGATGCTTGCCATAGATGCAGGCAAAACGTCAGGAGAGAATGCCTCTAGAACATATTGCCCGAAAAAACCTACAACAACCCAGCCAATAGGTTTTTAGGAATTGTGGGCGTTGCAGTCCAAAAACACCTGGAGAACCAAAGTTAGCCCATGTCTGGTTTACACTGACCACATAATCCAGTTTCAAACTGCATTATATGGTAACATAGCTGGAGCCATAGGTAAGCTAACCCAGTTTTGTTTTGGTCAATGTGTTGACCCCAATCTCTAGCTTTATACATGAGTATATACAATATGCACAAGAGAAGTGTTTCAACTGATTTGTGGATCACAACCTGAGGCTATTTAACCAATAAACAATTCCAGTCATATTTATTTAAATGCATTTATATCCTGTCATTTCCCCACTGCCCCATCTGTAAATATCAAAACTAATTCCTCTGGAATGCTAGAAACCAACACTAAACAGACCCTGCTCTGACCAGTTTCATTTAACAACACAACTGCGGTGTCGTCATCATATGAGATTATTGAACAGAAAGAAGAAAACTTGAATAGGAGTGGGAAATTTATTCTGAAGTTTGAAATCATGAGTATATGCTTTGTACTTTATCTATGAACATTACAGCATCTTTTTTTCAGGCCAGAAGAAGAAGAAGCTGTCATCCTAAGACTACTTTTAACAAATCTGTGATCTGTGTAAAGCAGAGTATTTTCTAATAGATAAAATTAGCCCTTATTTCTGCCTTGATTTCATAGGGGAGAGGGTTAACCTTTTTTGTGAATGTCTCCTCAAAAGAACATAAAAATTATATATTTCTTAGCTCTTCCAGCAAAAAGAGTACAAAGTATACAATGGGTGTATCTATGGTGTAGAATTAATGTCCTTTGGCACCACTTTAACTACCATGATTACATGCTATGTTGTCTTTAGCCTTCCATGCCAAATGCTCATCAGATTACATGATTCCATAGCATTGAATCATAGCAATTAAAGTGATGTCAAGCTGCATCAATTCTAGAATATAGATGCACCTGATGTCTCCAAAGCAGGTATTAAGCAAAGCAAAAGACACTCCATTTTATGAGTTAGTAAGCTCTGTGGAAAATAACTGTATAATTCCTAATATTGCATTTTAAATAAGCAATAAAAGCTATGGCATTCCTCATGTTACTCCAGACTCATTCCTATGTAAGAACGTGTATAGACATGGCAAATCTGTAGACGGGTGTGTAAACTCAACCGATATGTCTTTCGTTGAGCCAAATTTGCAAACTGTCCAAGACATTTGCATGTCTTTGCAAACAGAAGGGTGCCTGGAAGGAATTACTATGTATTTTTTTAAAAGCTGTACATGAGAAGTTGTGGTCAACAATGGTAGGCCAAGTATCACATATTAACCATGAGCTACTAGAACTACATAAAAATATCAACATTTCAGGGTGTTGATATTTAAGTCAGTTGATGGCAAAGTGCTAGAACAGTGTTTCTCAACCTGGGGGTCGGGACCCCCATGGGGGTCGCGAGGGGGGTGTCAGAGGGGTCGCCAAAGACCATCAGAAAACATAGTATTTTCTGTTGGTCATGGGGGTTCTGTTGGTCCAATTCTATCGGTGGGGTTCAGAATGCTATTTTATTGTGGGTGAACTATAAATCCCAACAATTACAACTCCCAAATGGCAAGGTCTATTTTCTCCAAACTCTACCAGTGTTCACATTTGGGCATATTGAGTATTTGTGCCAACTTTGATCCAGATCCATCATTGCTTGAGTCCACAGTGTTCTCTGGATGTAGGTGAACTACAACTCCAAAAAACTCAAGGTCAATGTCCACAGACCTTCCCAGTATTTTCTCTTGGTCATGGGAATTCTGTGTGCCCAGTTTGATTCAGCTCCATCATTGGTGGAGTTCAGAAGACTCTTTGATTTTAGGTGAACTATAAATCCCAGCAACTCCAGCATTACCAAATGACCAAATCAATCACCCCCAACCCCCACCAGTATTCAAATTTGGGAGTATTGGGTATTTGTGCCAAATTTGGTCCAGTGAATGAAAATACATCCTGCATATCAGATATTTACATTACAATTCATAACAGTAGCAAAATTACAGTTATGAAGTAGCAACGAAAATAATGTTATGGTTGGGGGTCACCACAACATGAGGACCTGTACTAAGGGGTCGTGGCATTAGGAAGGTTGAGAACCACTGTGCTAGAAGAAAGCATGAATTGTACCCATAACAACTTTGATTATCAGCTGTCATTGAAAATGGATTGTTCAAAATTATATTGAGAAACACAATTGGATTGACCCAGTCCTATTTGCAGAATTGTTAATGGGAAATAACCCAAAAGGAATCAACTTTCTCTTTAACTGTTCCAAAACCATCTTCATTGCTTCCGACTGTTATATTTTAGCAATGTTTAGCTTTGCAAAGCAAGAGGATCCGATAAGCAGGTTAAATGCGGTCGGTTAAGTGTGAAGGATATCCATCCACAGCATCTAGGCGACAGGTTTTCCTTGTTAATAAAAGCACTAAGGTGGCGAATTCACACAATGGAGAATGATACAACGGTTGTGTATGAAACAAAAGAAAACTCAGAAGTCTTCCCGCTGCATAGAAGGTGGTTTCCAAAGATAACTTTATTGTATCGCCTACAGAAAGGAAAATGTCATTTTCATCGTACATTTATCTCGCATGCTGTGCTAAAACAATCAATAGATTTACAGAAAAGGTGACATCTAAATACATTGTTAGGCTAAAACTTTCAGATTAATTCAATCGTAAATTATTAGTTGAGGAAAAGAAACCATTTCGTCGCATGCACTTAAGAAATTTACTCTGTACGCAAATTTAGTGGAACATGGAAGAAAAATGGAATGGTAAACTTGAATCCATTTATCTTGAGATGCATGACGGCATTCACAACGGATCGAGATGTTGTTAAAAATGGTATGAAGACAGACACCGTTAAAAGGAATAAACCCCAAAGGAATGTCCTTGCAAACATCTATGTTTAAACCCTATACAAATCCTTGTCCATTTGACATGAGCATGGATCCAGTTTTAGCCAGTCCCTTTGGCCATTTGGCTTATCTGTTTTGTTACGGGTGCTTGAAACGGTAAAGACCTTCCCGTACGAACCTCCCCCCCCCCCCCCCCGACACAAAAGCAAGTGGGAGCCAGTCTCGGCTCCTCCTCCCCTATTCAGCATCACAGCTGAATCCTTTTTATTTTCCTTTATTTTCCTAATTCTTTTATTTAGTGGGGCTGACTGGGAATTGGGGACCTGAGGGACGGTGGCTGGGGTAAAGCCTACCTCTCCTCTAGAGTAGAAAGTAGAAATAGCTTTAAGGAAGCAAAACTGGCAAGCGGAAAGGAGATTGCAGGAAGTAAAGAAAACAGAGGGGATTTTTAAGGTAGTCCAGCGAGGATAGCTCCATTGAGCCAAAGGTCATTGCTCTTCCTTCCCTGGGCCTCCTTAAAATGCCTTGGAAAGCTGTGTGGCATGCTGTTGGTGCTGTTGAGAGTAAATACATGCGCCTACCTCTCTTCTAGAGTAGAAATAGCTTTAAGAAGCATTAATCCCAGTCTCCTCTACAAACAGAAGGTAAAGGACCCAGAAAGAGTGATATCTTAACTCTGATGCTTTTTAAAATCCAGGTCTTAATTAAGGATATGGAAGGGGAACTCATGGAAAGTGTCCCCCCCCCCCAATAATGGGTTGGATAGGGTGCTTCTGTCAGACTGTAGGATCTATATAGCAATATTAAATAACCACTCACAAGCCGTTTTGCTTTGAAATGGATATATTGCTTGTATCTCTGCAGCAAAGAAAGACACTACTGACTTTTTTCCCACCACCACTTCCTTTTATACACCTTTCCTGACCATCTCCCCCTCTTCTCAGTTTCCTTGTTAGAACTTGTTGCTTCACAAGTTCCAATACAAGGTTTTCAGTGCCCTTTGCTGGCTTCAAAATGTCACAGAGAGAGAATTGATTCAGCCAGGATGATTCAGCCAGGATGTCATGGAGGGAATTTGTGATGTCTTCATGCTGTCAGAAATTGACTCCTGACAGCTTCCTTAATCCCATTGCTGACACCCAGGCTCCCTTGAAGGGAAGAAAGGAAAGGCTCCCAAGGGAAAGGGGACCCTCGTAAGTTCCCCATTGCTACCAATGGGCTGAAAATATCAATCTTTTCAAATGCAGAACAAAAAGGCCCATTCAGCAGCATGCCCATTTTCAGGAAGCACTTGAAAATGGATATGGGGAGCTTCTGGTATCTGACAAATAGAAATGGATAGCAGTTCACCTGAAATGCGCAAGCCTACTGTCCATTTGCTCATTAGAAAAAATAGGGTTGCCAGTAATAAATCAAGGCTTCCAAGTAATAATCAGGTGATCCAAGCAAAAGAATTACCGAGGGAACTCAGGGCGGATTCCTTTACAGAGGCACAAAACTAAATAATAGCCATTTTCCCAATTATTATATGTATTTATACCCCACTTTTTCTCTGCTAAAGGTGAATCAAAGCAGCTTCACAAGAAACAATCTAAAACTAAAAAGCGTAAGAAGGAACCATCTAAAACTACAAAGCAGAAGTGCAGTGACTCAAGAATAAAGTTCTTCCTGGTCATAATGCAACAGTAAAACAAATAAAACAACTACTTCTTTGGGAGATTTGTAGATAAGTATTCAAAACCTGTTCCAGATGAACTCTAGCCTTGGCATGGAAAACCCTGCAAATCCTGGGTCAAAGTTGTCATGCGATGTGCAGTCCACATGCAATGGATGGGTTATGAAAGGAACCGCATGCTACTCTTTGTAGAAGTTGGGAAAGAGAGAGACGCTCTGCAGAGCATGCAACTTTCATCAAACTTCTTTTAAAAATAATAAAAGGCAAAATAATAATTGTAAAGTGCCACTGTCATTGGACTTCTGATTTTTTTTCAACTTCAAGTCATTCTATAAAATATTAAGGTGGAACCTAAGGCAACATTGGTGGTTACTTGGAGACAAACAGGTTCTACCTGTTGTGTTTGCCATGGAACAAGTACACCAATAGGAAAAAAAATGGAAGGTACAAAACAGAGTGGAGGAAGAGTGGTGAATTGCTTTCCTTCCTCACAACATCAGTGAGTAGTTAATTGTCAAGAGAAATAATAGATGAGGGAAGAAAGTAGACCAGATATGGACAAACTTGGGCCCTCCGGGTGTTTTGGACTTCAACTCCTACAATTTCTAACAGCTGGTAGGCTGTTAAGAATTGTGGAAGTTGAAGTCTAAAAATACCCAGAGGGCTGAAGTATACCCATGTCTGCTGCAGACCCTTGAAGAATCTCAGTTTTGTGAACTTGGAGACATTTAGACTTTTCTAGTGACCAAGGGCAAGATGGATGGATGGCATCCTTGAAGTGACTGGACTGACCTTGAAGGAGCTGGGGGTGGTGACGGCCGACAGGGAGCTCTGGTGTGGGCTGGTCCGTGAGGTCACGAAGAGTTGGAGACGACTGAACGAATGAACAACAACAACAGTGACCATGAAGTAGCCATGGCTTTGAATCATGGTGGCCCTCCATAATCGTTGGTCATTTCATGCCAACTTTTATCAACAAACAACAAACTATATCACATAAAGTCCTGCTTCCACCCCAAACATCAGCTTGAAGACATAAATGAACATATTACAGCAGCAATGGAGATAATACCACGGTAGATTATTTTGTAGTTTGTGGAGAAATCTCCATAGTTAACCATGTTGAGATTCAGCAGTTATGTAGTGAAACTTTTAAAAAGCAAATCCTATCTTTTCACAAGGCGCAAACCCTGATCATACAGATACTCAAAACTCTGCTCTTCAGTAAGAAATCATGGGTATATTCCTTATGTGAATTGAGCATTGTATAAAGAAATATGTTCTTTTGTGTGTTATGCCCTCTCACGTTTGCATTGCTACTTCTAGAACTTGTACAATTTCCAAACTAATAACTTCAAGGGAACCCAATAGAGAAATTGTTTATTCTGCACTCTGTAGATAAAGGCTCCTTCCACACAGCTGTGTAAAATCCAAATTGAACTGGATTATATAGCAGTGTGGACTCAGATAATCCAGTTCAAAGCAGATATTGTTTATTATCTACCTTGATATTCTGGGTTATATGGCTGTGAGGAGGGACCTAAAACATGGATGAATTCAAGAAGTGGTCATCCAACCTTTCTTAAATTGGTTTTACTCCTAAGTAACCTATATGGATTGATCTTGAAGGAGCTGGGGGTGGTGACGGCAGACAGGGAGCTCTGGCGTGGGCTGGTCCATGAGGTCACGAAAAGTCAGAAACGACTGAACGAATGAACAACAACAACCTATCTGATGTAGACGCAGACTAAGATCGTGCTCCACACATAACATTTTGTTATTTTGCCACAAGAGATTAGCATGGCTACTCATCTGAAACCAACTACATTAAAAGATTTTGGATAGTAACAAAATATTATTTCTATTCATAACCAAAGGGGATATAACTGCTTCCAAGATAAGCAAGCAATTACATGAAGTAGTTCTGGAGATGACTTCATGGACACAGTGCTTCATGGCATCATCACTGAATGGATAAAAAGGCATACCTTCAATCGTAATGGCTTGATCCGGTCTCCTCTCCTGGGCCAATGCTGCTGCACTCTGATGGTAGAGCTGGGCGCCACTCTTTGCTGTCCCTAACCTGTTCACCAGCTAAAGAGAAGGGTGCAAGGCAAGTGAGCATTCACTGAAACATCTAGAAAAAGAGCAGTGCCCTTCCCTGCATGCTAACCACCTAAACAATGCAACAGTTATGGGAAAATCATGGAATCACAGAATCAAAGAGTTGGAAGAGACCTCATGGGCCATCCAGTCCAACCCCATTCTGCCAAGAAGCAGGAATATTGCATTCAAATCGCCCCTGACAGATGGCCATCCAGCCTCTGTTTAAAAGCCTCCAAAGAAGGAGCCTCCACCACGCTCCGGGCAGAGAGTTCCACTGCTGAACGGCTCTCACAGTCAGGAAGTTCTTCCTCATGTTCAGATGGAATCTCCTCTCTTGTAGTTTGAAGCCATTGTTCCACGTCCTAGTCTCCAGGGAAGCAGAAAACAAGCTTGCTCCCTCCACCCTGTGACTTCCTCTCACATATTTATACATGGCTATCATATCCCCTCTCAGCCTTTTCTTCTTAAGGCTAAACATGCCCAGCTCCTTAAGCCGCTCCTCATAGGGCTTGTTCTCCAGATCCTTGATCATTTTAGTCGCCCTCCTCTGGACACATTCCAGCTTGTCAACATCTTCCTTCAACTGTGGTGCCCAGAATTGGACACAATATTCCAGGTGTGGCCTAACCAAAGCAGAATAGAGCATGGGGAGCATGACTTCCCTAGATCTAGACACTATGCTCCTATTGATGCAGGCCAAAATCCCATTGGCTTTTTTTGCCGCCACATCACATTGTTGGCTTATGTTTAACTTGTTGTCCACAAGGACACCAAGATCTTTTTCACACGTACTTCTCTCAAGCCAGGCATCATCCCCCATTCTGTATCTTTGCATTTCGTTTTTCCTGCCAAAGTGGAGTATCTTGCATTTGTCCCTGTTGAACTTCATTTTGTTATCTCTCTAATCTGTCAAGATCATTTTGAATCCTGCTCCTGTCCTCTGGAGTATTGGCTCTCCCTCCCAATTTGGTGTCGTCTGCAAACTTGATGATCATGCCTTCTAACCCTTCATCTAAGTCATTAATAAAGATGTTGAACAGGTCCGGGCCCAGGACGGAACCCTGCGGCACTCCACTCGTCACTTCTTTCCACAATGAAGAGAAAGCATTGGTGATCACCCTCTGGGTTCGTCCATTTAACTTCTTACACCGACCTGACATCCTTTCTTTCTTAACACCCTCAATGTCTGGCACAAATGCAGGGGACCACTAATCATTCAAGAGGTATTTGTGGGTCAACCAACATTGGTGAATATGAGCTTAGATGCCTCAAGGTGGTAATCAAGAACCATAATTGCCAGGCATTATGAATTTGGAGGCCATTGTGTTCCTCTGCTAACTAAAAGAATTGCATTTGGAAAGTGGAAACTAATTATTTCCATCAGTTTCCCATGATCGCATGCCTTGAATCACTTTCATAAGCTACGTTTCGGATCCCCTGTCCAGACACATTAAACTGCTGTCTAACCAGTGTTTTAAACTTTTAATCTATTGAAATCGTCCTGCCCAATGTGATCAATTTCTGTGTTTTAAATGTTGTGACTTTATATTATTGATGTGTTTAAATGGGTTTGTATTTTATTTTATTTTTGCTGTGTTCTGTTGTATTTTGTTTTACTGTATTGCTGGGCTTGGCTCCATGTAAGCCGCCCCATGTCCCCTTGAGGAGATGGTGGCGGGGTATAAATAAATTATTATTGGGTTGTTGTAGGTTTTTTTGGGCTGTATGGCCATGTTCTAGAGGCATTCTCTCCTGAGTTTTGCCTGCATCTATGGCAAGCATCCTCAGAGGTAGTGAGGCTCACTACCTCTGAGGATGCTTGCCATAGATGCAGGCGAAACGTCAGGAGAGAATGCCTCTAGACCATGGCCATATAGCCCGAAAAAGCCTACAACAACCCAGTGATTCCGGCCATGAAAGCCTTCGACAATACATTGTAAGCCGCCCTGTGTCCCTTGGGGAGATTGTGGTGCAATATAATAATAGGTTCTTGTGGGGTTTTTTTGGGCTATATGGCCATGTTCTAGAGGCATTCTCTCCTGACGTTTTGCCTGCATCTATGGCAAGCATCCTCAGAGGTAGTGAGGTCTCACTACCTCTGAGGATGCTTGCCATAGATGCAGGCAAAGCGTCAGGAGAGAATGCCTCTAGAACATGGCCATATAGCTCAAAAAAACCTACAACAACCTAGTGATTCTGGCCATGAAAGCCCTCGGCAATACAAAGTTTATTTACTTATTTACTTATTTTTTTATTATTTCCACAAGAGGTGTGCAAGACATGCCATTTCAGGGTCCATTTTTTGCTAAGCCCTCATTCTGTTTACCGGGAAGTTACTTGAATTGGGAGGAGTGTTGCCATTTTCATTAGGCAAAGAACACTGTTCAATGGAGAAAAATTTGTGGGCCTGAAAATAGTTGTTCTTTTATGATTTTGGGGTGCTGAAAATGAAAATGACATTTAAAAATGTATATTGGCTCTAGTTTTTATGATATAAGCAATCACGTGATCACGTATGGTTGAAAAAATGCATGTTGCGACTTACACTATGGAAGATTCTAGAATATTCTAGAAAGTTTGATGACGCAGTATTAGTGCCGTGTGCAAAAGCCAGAAAGCCCTATATAAGGCCAGACTTTTGAACGGTGAGGGTCAGTCAGTTGAAGACTGAGACAGTATCGTTAAACATCGTTTTACATTGTTCTTTTTACTGTAGATATGCCTCCTCGCACGTGTGTAAATAAAGCACTATGGAAAAAAGAGATCAAGGCCAATGGACTCCGTCAATGCTGTCAGACTACTGCTGGAGCATTGCAAGAGGGAATCCTTTCCTTGAATACAAAAGAAAAGTCAAGAGAAGCAAACAGGATATAAACTAAAGTCACGATTAAAGCGACATTTAAACTTTCAGACTTTTCAACTGCATTAGGCCTACTAATATAGTTTCTTGCTGCACAAACCTAAACAATAGACTAATTAAATAAATATTTCTCATGTATAAACTATTGGCAATATAATTTGACTAAAATTTAGTAAATATTCACGGTTTATATACATGCAGTAAGGTTAGGCGCATTATCATAATATTAACGAATTACCTATTGTGGAGAAAATTGAAATAGCTGTTGCATAAAAACCAGAGCCAATTAACACATTTCATTATTATATTTGAATTCAGCATGTTAAATTTATTAAGAAACGGCACATTTTGTTTCCGCAACTGAGAAAAATGGAGATCGGCCCCAGTAGCTGATCAATCTGGCTCTCTTGATCCATTTTGCCAAGCTTTTTGGTTCCCTCCTCCCCTTTCAGTTTTCAGCAGATTACATGAAAGGACCACTGAATATTACAAATCAAACTAATTTGGGCCCAATACTAATTTCCACATTGTTCATTGTGGCTCTCACTACACATACCATTTGGCAGTGTGGGTATTATCGCTCATCTGTATTGGAAAGTGATTCACAAAGATGAATAATCATACCATAAGCAAGCCACCATGACTCACCCATTTTATGATGGACTAAAATGATATGCGTGACCTCACCTTTGAAATTAAAATTTGAAACTTATCCCATAAATTGCTTATTGCATCCTAACCCAAGCATTCCTCCCACTCAAAAGATGAGGTTGAGTTATAGTTGGCTCAGAAGGAATTTTATTTACGGAAAAGCTTTATAGCCTTGATGCCAATGTATTTAATTGCACGATGCAAATGATGAATGTGATGAGGTATTTGGAGGCCTGTGATTCAAAAGCTAAAGACAGGGGAGTGGGACGATGAAGGTTTTTAAATCCCAATGTGTTTTATCTATATGTGAGTTATATTAATTGCATTGTTTATTTGTTTATTGTTGTTTTTATTGATGTGTTTTGGGCTTGGCCTCAAGTAAGCCGCTCCGAGTCCCTTGGGGAGATGGTGGCGGGGTAGAAATAAAGGTATTATTATTATTATTATTATTATTATTATTATTATTATTATTAGTTGCAGGGATGCAATAACCTTTCTTGTGTCGCTCACCCTTAACTTGAATTAGTCATACTTCCATAGAGAAGGAAATTGAATGAAGAGGAATCTCAATAAAGCCCTGCACACTCACTTTAAAAGAGAAGAGTAAGGAAAACACAGCCATGGACCTAGAATCATAGAATCATAGAGTTGGAAGAGACCTCATGGGCCATCCAGTCCAACTCCATTCTGCCAAGAAGCAGGAAAATTGCATTGAAAGCACCCCTGACAGATGGCCATCCAGCCTCTGTTTAAAAGGAGCCTCCACTATACTCTGGGGCAGAGAGGTCCACTGCTGAATGTCTCTCACAGTCAGGAAGTTCTTCCTAATGTTCAGATGGAATCTCCTTTCTTGTAGTTTGAAGCCATTGTTCCATTGTGTCCTAGTCTCCAGGGAGGCAGAAAACAAGTTCGCTCCCTCCTCCTCCCTGTGGCTTCCTCTCACATACTTATACATGGCTATCATATCTCCTCTCAGCCTTCTCTTCTGCAGGCTAAACATGCCCAGCTCTTTAAGCCGCTCCTCATAGGGCTTGTTCTCCAGGCCCTTGATCATTTTAGTCACCTTCCTCTAGACACATTCTAGCTTGTCAATATCTCCCTTCAATTGTGGTGCCCAGAATTGCACGCAATATTCCAGATGTGGTCTAACCAAGGCAGAATAGAGCATGGATAGTATGACTTCCCTGGATCTAGGCACTAGATTCCTATTGATGCAGGCCAAAATCCCATTGGCTTTTTTTGCCACTGCATCACATTGTTGGCTCATGTTTAACTTGCTGTCCACGAGGACCCCAAAATCTCTTTCATGGGTACTGTCTTGAGCCAGGCATTGTCCCCCATTTTGTATCTTTGCATTTCATTTTTTTCTGCCTAAGCTGAGTATCTTGCATTTGTCCCTGCTGAACTTCATTTTGTTAGTTTTGGCCCATCTCTCTAATCTGTGAAGATAGTTTTGAATTCTGCTCCTGTCTTCTGGAGTATTGGCTATCCCAATATGGTGTCGTCTGCAAACTTGATGATCCTGCCTTCTAAGCCTTCATCTAAGTCAGTAATAAAGATGTTGAACAGGACCGGTCCCAGGATGGAACCCTGCAGACTGCACTCCACTCGAAACTTCTTTCCAGGATGAAGAGGAAGCATTGGGGAGAATCACCCTCTGAGTTCGTCCATTTAACCAATTCCAGATCCACCTAACCATAGTTTTGCCTAGCCCACATTGGACTAGTTTCCTTCCCAGAAGGTCATGGGGGACCTTGTCAAATGCCTTACTGAAGTCTAGATACTCTACATCAGTGGTTCTCAACCTGGGGTCCCCAGATGTTTTTGGCCTACAACTCCCAGAAATCTCAGCCAGTTTATCAACTGTTAGGATTTCTGGGAGTTGTAGGCCAAAAACATCTGGGGACCCCAGGTTGAGAACCACTGCTCTACATCCAAACCATTCCCCGCATCTACCCAGCTTGTAACTCCATTGATTTTAATGAAGTATTTAATGAAGGACCTCCCAAACCTTCATTAAATTCAGTCATGAATCCTTCTGAATGCAATGGGCTTTACTCCCAAGTAAGTGCATATAGAACTCCAAGTCCATGTGTTGGTTCATTTAGGACAGGAGCTCCAAAACTTTGTGTCTTTATTAAATGGACTTCATTTGAGATAACTGGGGCTTTTGGAAAGAGAAGCCCAACACACCTGAGGGACCGATTTTGGGTGGACCATTGATTTAGGAGACCCAAAACAATGGGTCATCCAGGAGAAACTGGTTTCTGAACTTTCAGACGCCTTACCTCACATTCATAGACCCCCATGTCATCTTTGCAGGCATTTTTGATCACCAGAACGATTACGCCACTGCGTGGTTCACTGAAACTCTGGTGCTTATTTGGGTCGGTCAATGGGCTTCCATCTTTATACCACCTGCAGGGAGAAGATTAAAAAAGAACTCATCTTAGGTAAAGGTAAAGTAGGGTTTTCCCCTGACATTAAGTCTCATTGTGACTGACTCTGGGGGGTGGTGCTCATCTCCATTTCTAAGCCAAAGGGCCGGCGTTGTCCATAAACACCTCCAAGGTCATGTGGCCAGTATGACTGCATGGAGCGCTATTACCTTCCCACAGAAGTGGTACTTATTGATCTACTCACATTTGCATGTTTTTAAACTGCTAGGTTGGCAGAAGCTGGGGCTAACAGTGGGAGCTCACCCCACTCCCCGGGTTCAAATTTCCAACCTTTCAGTCAGCTAGTTCAGCAGCTCAAAGGTTTGAACTCACTGCACCACTGGGGGCTCCTGTACTCAGTTTAGCAAGGCATTAACTCTAAAATGCTGCGGAACAGAGAATGGAAGAGTGTGATGGTTACTTCTGGAGCTTGTGTTCGTATTTTGCTGCATACTGACAGGTGAAAATATTAGATATTAATACCATTGGTGCAATATTTGCGCTGGACCTGGATCTATGGTCCTCTTTCAATTTTCCTTCTATCACTTTTAGGAGAAATTGCTCAATGGTTCCTCTGTTCCACTGTTTGCTTCTACTGCCAAATGAAAGACCTGCTTTGAAGGCTCAAGAAGGAATGGAGTTTGAGGTCCTATAGACCAAGTGCTGGCCTTGGCCTATAAAGCCCTTAATGTAGTGTTTCTCAGCCTGGGGGTCGGGACCCCTGAGGGGGTCGCAAGGGTGTGGAGGGTCGCCAAAGACCATTAGAAAGCACAGTATTTTCTGTTGGTCATGGGGATTCTGTGTGGGAAGTTTGGCCCAATTGTATCATTGGTGGGGTTCAGAATGCTCTTTGATTGTAGGTGAACTATAAATCCCAGCAATTACAACTCCAAAATGTCAAGATTCTATTTTCCCCAAACTCCACAGTGTTCACATTTGGGCATATTGAGTATTCTTGCCAAGTTTGGTCCAGATCCATCATTGTTTGAGTCCACAGTGCTTTCTGGATGTAGGTGAACTACAACTCCAAAACTCAAGGTCAATGCCCACCAAACCCTTCCAGTATTTTCTGTTGGTCATGGGAGTTCTGTGTGCCAAGTTTGGGTCAATTCCATCTCTGGTGGAGTTCAGAATGCTCTTTGATTGTAGGTGAACTATAAATCCCAGCAACTACAACTCCCAAGGTCCAGAGAATGAAAATACATCCTGCCTATCAGATATTTACATGATGATTCATAACAGTAGCAAAATTCCAGTTATGAAGTAGCAACGAAAATAATTTTAGGGTTGGGGGTCATCACAACATGAGGAACTACATAAAGGGGTCGCGGCGTTAGGAAGGTTGAGAACCACTGCCTTAATGGTTCTGGCCCAGTTTACCTGTCCGAACGTATCTCCCGTTACAAGCCACCTAGGACCTTAAGATCCTGGGGGGGGGGGCTACTCTCAGTTCCCCCACCATTGCAATCACGCTTGGTGCGGACAAGTGACATGGCCTTCTCCGTGGTGGCCCCTCGGCTATGGAATTCCCTCCCAAATGAAATCAGATTTGCTCCATCTCTCCTGTCCTTCCGGAAAAAAAAGTGAAATCCTGGCTCTGGGATCAGGCCGTTGCAGACTAGACTGACTTGCTGACAAAGTTATGGTTTTAATGGACTATGATGGACTGTTTTTAGGATGAATTGGGTGATGTGTTTTAGTATTTTTATATCGTTTTTATACTGGTTTTTTTTACTGTTTTTTTCTCCAGCAAAGGATCACCGCCTTGTCGGGGCGCTGGAGCTTGAGCACCTCAATGATGTCATGAGCGAAACCGTGAAGGGCCACCCAAGACGGGACGGTTGTGGCAGAGAGGTCAGACCAAGCGTGATCCCTGGGGAAGGCAATGGCAAACCACTCCAGTATCCTTGCCAAGAAAACTAAATGGACCAGTACAACCAGAGATATGTCGGTATGCCACTGGAAGATGGGACTCCCAGGTCGGAAGATGGCCAAAATGCTACTGGGGAGGAGCAGAGAA